GCCAACTGAATGTGAAGAATGAGGAGCTGGAGGCCATGGTGAAGGAGGCCAGCGGCCCCATCAACTTCACAGTCTTCCTGACCATGTTCGGCGAGAAGCTGAAGGGTGTGTTGACATACGCTTCACACAGTTCAAGTCCTTGCCTGTCACTTTTTGTCTTATTTCATAGATTATTTACCACTTTGAGGAGTTATCTTCTTATTTCCCTACTTGTTTTTTTGGTTTTAACTTTTGTAATTGAGACTAATTGGCTGCTTTTACTCTTAGGTGCTGATCCCGAGGACGTCATCGTGAGCGCTTTCAAGGTCCTGGACCCCGAGGCCACTGGCGCCATCAAGAAGGAATTGTAAGGGCTTTTTTATATCACAAGAGTCTGAGCTCTTTGTGGCACAATCTTGACTCAAGATAGACCATCTGATATTTATTTTTCTCCATTTTCCCTCTCCAGGCTTGAAGAGCTCCTGACCACCCAGTGCGACAGGTTCACCGCTGAGGAGGTGAGCTGATGATCTTTGTTCACTCATGTTCACGTCCTGTCATCGATTGTTCAGGGTTTTAAGCCATTTCTTTTACTCATCCTCTGCAGATGACCAACCTGTGGGCTGCTTTCCCCCCTGATGTGGCTGGCAATGTGGACTACAAGAACATCTGCTACGTCATCACACACGGAGAGGAGAAGGAAGAGTAAATCCCCCTCTCTATCAAGATCTCTACCTCCGTTGAAACCCATACTTGCCGCACCATCTACTCACTCCCCCTCTTCTCCAACGCCGCGACTTCCTTGCACACTTTCGCACTCCGGTCCGCTCTTTCCACTTGCCAGCTCACTACTAAAAGACTTGTCTCCTTTATCGAGATTCTCAGTGAGAGGACTGAAGGCTGTGGGGGTGTTTGTGTGTGAGGACCAACAGGGGAACATGGGATTATTTTCAATAAAAATAATCTTGTGGCACTGAAACACTCTCCATCTCTGTCCCTGCCTCTTGTTCCTCCTCCTTTTTCTCCCATCACTCATTCTGTCTTTCTGTATTGAGGCCAACAGTGCATGCATCATACCTACATGCAGCATGTATGCATATGCAGTCCAGTGTATACAGCGGTCAGTCAAAAATATGTCTTGGGTGCTGTGGTGCAAGCACAGTCACTTGCTTGAAACAAGTAAGCAGTCTGACTCAAGTGGTCTGTTAGTCTCAAGCTGACACAGAGTGTTTAATGGATTCATCCCTTTGTTTGTAGTAGGGAGGAGTGCACAGTAAAAGAGTGGGAGTATTGTACTATAATAGTTTGCCTACCCCTCTCTTTTTAATCTGTCTCTCCGTCTCTTAAATACAGGCATGAAAGGAAAAGTTGCAGGGAAAATTGGAAAGCATGATTTGTTCTAAATCTTGTAAATAGAGAAAGAGATGGGGAAAGATGGTGAGTTGGAGGCAGGGATCAAATAAACAAAAGTACAACATCTTTGTTTTTGACTCTCCTTCCTCCTTTTCACTGTTGTTTCTCTCCTGTTGTTGTGACTATGACTGTAACAAAGAAAGAAGTACAAATAAAATCCACTACCTTTCGTATGACACTGTGTCTGTTGGTTAACTGTGAACAGCCCTGTAGAGCACTGACTGCACACTGACTGCTATATGCAGATGGTGAAGCATTATCATGTCAAAACTACTGAACTTTGAAGTCTCATCATAATCCCAAAGTCTAAAATATATAAAATATGTCATTCTGAATTGCAATGTTTTATCTAATTAAATATGTAGAGATCTCTTTGCAGTACCAATGCATAACTCTAAAGCTGTAGGACAGTTGGACAAAATAATAGAAACACCTAACAATACAAGAATAACCCTTACCCAGTAATAGGAGAAATATTAATTAACATTAAATAAATAAATAGGATTGAATTAATAGAGTAAAGGTTTGTTAATGCACATCTCTCTCTCTCTCTCTCTCTCTCTCTCTCTCTCTCTCTATCTATCTATCTATCTATCTATCTATCTATCTATCTATCTATCTATCTATCTATCTATCTATCTATCTATCTATCTATGTATTTATTTAAACCCATCCAGCCAGCCATCTAGAGACTGGGTCTGCTCAAGGTTTCTACCTCCTAAAAGGATGTGTTTCCTTCCTGTCGCCAAGTGCTTGCCTGTGGTGTGAATTATTGGGTCTAGATCTGCTCTATGAAAAGTATCCTCCCTCACTCCTCAGGCAATCACTTTTAATAGAAGATCAGTTTCTATTATCGTTGTGTTATTCATGTTGAATTTGTGCTTCTGCTTTTGGTCCACCACTGTGGCTGAAAACACACAGTGGATACAGGTTCTATTTCCTTCCCTTGATGGACAGAGGTAAGATGTGTAACGACGTGTCCTTCCCGATTTTACAGTAAAACTAATTCAAATCTGAGTGGAAAACAGTGTATGACAGATGTGACAGATGATAGTGGTGTGGCTTCAACGTTCACTGCCACACCTACACCATTCAAATATATTCCTCATATCTTCCGCAGTAGGTCATGTGGTCATTTTACTCATAGCAAGGGGTCGGCTTAAACACAGTGAAAGAAAGTTGTTTTTTAAGCAACAATACCACCACAAATCAAAATGTCTCCGTTACTTAACTTCACTGACTACTCTAATGCTACAGCTGATATCGTTCTGAAGTGTAGTAGCCAACATGCAGGCAATATCTTCTGGATATGTATCTCTGTAGTTTGCTTTGTTTTGGGGTTTCCTGGAGTGGTTACTGTGCTTTTGGACATGTTTCAGAAAGTAAGAAAAGGAACTTTATTATGCCCAATGGACTTCTTTATGTTAAATCTAACTTTCATGGATGGGATTTGTTTGCTCTTTCTTCTACCACAGCTGTATAACGGTGTACACTGGAATAATTTAGTGTATAGAGCACTTGCTTCCTTCATTTATACATTCAATTTGTGTGGGAGGCCTCTTTTTCTATCCTGTATCTGCCTGGACTTTTACCTGGCTGTGGTTCATCCTGTTACATATCGGGGGAGAAAGAGTCCGACTCCCAGGATCCTGGTGGCTGTTGGTGTCTGGACTGTGACGGTTGCTTATGGATGTTATTTTGCTATTGGACACAAGGAACTTTATATTTTCCTCACCCCAATCTTGTTTTTTGTTTTGCTTTCCCCTGTTATTGGATTTTGTGACATCATCATCCTCAGGACCCTGAACAGATCTAGGCCTGGAGGAACAGACGTCCACCCCCAGAAGAAGAGGGCTCTGCAGATTATATTCAACAACATTGTTGTTACCTCTGTTTCCTATCTTCCTCCAATAATTTCTGTGTGTGTGTCTCAGATTCTTCGCATGGATATAAAAACCTTTCGTTGTCGTGTTGTGACTCCAGTGATTTGCATTTCTCTAGTAGGAAATACAGTTTCACTTATCGTGTATTTGAGCAATCTGGGAAAACTGGAATGGCTAAAATGTTGGAAGCAGAAATGAACCTCATACAACCTCTATTTTGTCTTTTCAGTTGTGTATCGTGATTATTGTAGCCACATACTTTGTATTCATCTAGTGCCATTGAGATTGTTTGATACACATGTAAACAGAATATATTTTTAAAAACCTTTGCAGAGTGAAACTTTTTGGATTAACAGATGTTATGCTGTAATATATGCTAATATACAATAAACCCTTAAAATAAACAACATTTATTGATGGAGCTGCATAATACTGTATGATATTGTGTGTATGCACATGATCTCATTTTCTTTTTATTTTCATGATATAAATCATTTGCTATTATTGTGATAGTTGTTTTATTTGGTTGATCTGTTTCCACCGTGATGAAAGTCCTGAGGTCAAAATTGGTCTGTTCTTTAAATCAATGTGCTCGACTAAATAATTTCAATATAACATTTCTACTTTTCAAGCTTAAGAGTGCTTGAAGAATGTATTTTTTTGTTGAGAATAAGTTAATTGTAACTAAACTATTGCATGTACAATAAAGGAAGTAAATGCTGTGTACTTGTTTCTGCTGCCTTTATCTTTAGTTTTAAACCTATTTCCTGAAATGAGAGCAGTTACGAGGGAGGTTACTTATGAATTTACAATGACTTTGTTTATAACAACAGCTTGAGAGACTAACAGGAAATCGGGAGAGAGAGGGTGAGCAAAGGGCCACAGGTCAGATTCAAACCCATGGCCCCTGCAGCAATTTTTTGCTTCAACAATATAGGAGATAATGTATGTCACTCTATATAATGTATGCCACCACTTCATTTGCATAAAATGTGGTTTAATTTACTATATACAAAACACTGATGATGACAGATGGTGGAAAGTGACAGGCGACGAATGAGTGTGTGAGATAAACACTTGCATATTCAAAGCAAAGACATTTTCCACAGCAGGGGAAGCCACCTGTTAATGTTACACTTCAAGTCCAAGACCAGCGTTGGCTTGACTTACAAAGTAGATAGATAGATAGATAGATAGAAATACTTTATTTATCCCTGAAGGGAAATTATAATGTTAACGCAGCGGTCAGGTTGGATGGATATTAATGATATTATTGATAGAAATTATTTTTATTAGTCTGTGTTTTATTATCTTACTGTTTATTAATATTATTATTATTATTATTATTATTATTAGCATTTTGCACATAACTATATAATAATAATAATAATAATAATAATAATAATACCATCAAATCAATATCAATAGATCAATCAATCACGTGACCTAGTGACGCACATGAAATTAGGAAGTAAAATTCACTGCAACAAAACGTTCTGCCTTCAAAATAAAAGCTACCAATATGTCACTTTTAAATATCTGTACTAAATCTACCAAGTAAGTAGGCTAACAAAAGAAGAATTATTTCTCGAAGATAAGCAGATAGACCAGACCGAACAAATAAAATACTGTAGCTGTAAATCGATTTTTTTTTTAATCGCTCAAAACAAAAGCTTCCACAAACGTCCGCCGGTGACTGTTTTATTTTGAAAATGGCGACCGGAAACGTTGTGTGAGTGGTGAAACCCTGATCAGAGAGCAAGGGGAAACAGTTGGACACACAGTAGTGTAACTGTAAAACATTTTCAGGCTCCGGTTGGTCGCCACAAACTAGGAATGGCTGTCTGGTAATGTGGACCTTCGGCTGTGGAAGCCATCGATGCCGCTGTCGTCCCCCCGCCGTGCCTTCGTGAGCTCTGACGGGCCGAGACCCACCGCCATGGCCTCAGCGTTACCCCGCTGCACATCTGTCAGACTCCCCGCTGTGGCCACCGTCGTCCTGCTCCTGATGTCGGTGACCACTGTACAGTCCTCTCAAGGCGACAAGGAGCCGGTTTACCGAGACTGTGTGAAGCAGTGTGTCCGGACCAACTGCACCGGAGCTCGGCTACGGGGCTTCCAGTCTGCCCAGCCGCAGTACATGGCGCTGACAGGTGAGTTGTTGTTGTTGTTGTTGGCAGGTAACTTAAGCTAGCTTGTTAGCAGTCTGTAGCAACCCCAACAGCATACTGAATTATACATACGCTGTGGCTGTGTTGCCAAATATATCCCTTGACTATCTTTTACCATTCACTGTGTGTTTACTCGTCCATGTAGCTGCTCCACTGCTGTTGTCTTGTCATGGCTGCAGTTGTGACTTTTTCCACACGTATATCTTCACATCTTGTTAAATGTTAAATGAAACAAGTGACGCTTACTTTCATTCATTGAAACAGCCTTGAAAGTTCAAAGCCAGTTTTTCTGGCCGAGCAAGGTGTCACAATAGGCCTATTGAAACTCCACCCTCGGTCAGTCATTAACAGCTGTACAGTTTGTCTGTGTGAGGTTTGAAAATAAAACAAATTGGCACTTGACACAGTGTAATCCAGCCAAAAAAAGACTAAATTAAAGGAAGTGCCTCCTTCTCTCCAGCTGCAAATGAGAACAACACATTTTTACAGCTGCCATTAACCATTGTTTGTTATTAGTGATTAGTCGGCCCATTATTTTCTCAGTTAATTGACTCAATATGTGGTCTATGAAATATCAGACACAATTACGCAGAATACAAAAGGTGACAGCTCAAATGTGTTGTTTTGTTTGAGTAACCACATTACTCCCTAATATTCATTTTACATTGATATAGAAGAGAGGAAAAACTGGGATTATTATTTTGATTGTTAGAATGATCCAACTTGACTCATTGTTTCATCTTCTTACCAAATCAAAACAAAAATCCTTATGTGTTTCATTGTTGGATATTATCTACTCTATTGTCTGTAAAGCAAACTGAACTTGACCCTTTGACCTGTGTCAATGCCTGTTCGTGCCCTCACCTCTTCTCTCTTTGTTCCTGTGTTTCAGGTTGGACATGTCGTGATGACTGTCGCTACCAATGCATGTGGACCACCGTGGGGCTTTATCAGGCCGAGGGGTACAGGGTCCCACAGTTCCACGGCAAGGTTAGTGTTTCCTACAGAGGCCCGTATGAATATCTATACCGAATAGCTTTATCACAAAATCGTACTCAAAGTTATAATCTGTTCACAGCTGACTGCATTAGAACGAAACGTATATAAATACTATAAATGTGCCAGTATTGGTTGGTTTTGTCTTAACCGATTTGAGTCAACAATTGTGAAATAACGAGTCATATATTTTATTTCTTACAGTGGCCGTTTGCGCGCTTCCTGTGTTTTCGAGGAGCCAGCTTCTGCCCTGGCCTCTCTGCTCAATGGCCTGGCTTGCCTTCTAATGCTGCTGCGCTATCGGAGCACGGTGCCACGCCAAAGCCCAATGTACCACACCATCAACGCCTTCTCTCTGGTGAGATGGAAAAACTTAAACTTAAAAACACAAATAAATACACCAATACTACCTCGTCTTTCTACAAGTGTCATGACACTTTTATTGTGTGTGTTTCTTTAGGTTTCCCTCAATGCCTGGTTCTGGTCCACAGTGTTTCACACCCGGGACACGTATCTAACTGAGGTAATGGTTGCTGACTGTCTAGATACTTGGCTTGTCAAGTTTTAATGACTAACATGCTATCAAAGAGTTTCAGTCTCTCGCCTTTCAGCCCCGGTTTGGTCCACTTACTCCTGAGAAAGATATAAGTTCAGTCAGCTTGTGAGCTCGCAGCAGTCGATCAATGTTTATATGGAGGACTTGGACTCAATATGCAGACCAAAACACCAGTTGATCCAACTTTATTGAGTGGAAAAAATAAAATATTAAAATATCTTATAGCTAAAATGTCTTTCCAACTGCCAGACCACCTCCTGAGATGACCTCCGTTACTGACAAGCCCTGAAGCTGTGTGCAGTATATTTTCTATAACATGCAACAGGCCCGTGTCTTTTTTCTCTTGATATGGATTTCTGTTGTCAATACGTGTCTGTATGTGTTGTTCTCTTTCAGAAAATGGACTATTTCTGTGCAACGGCAGTCATTCTTTACTCGATCTATCTATGCTGTGTCAGGTAAGCTCTAAAACAGGTTTTCCATGTGACCTACAAATGTTTTAATTTGTCCCATAATAGAAGAAGGAAATAGAACTGAAATCACATCTTTATTAATGATTGACCCTGGGTAATATTTCCTGGATAAAGTTTTGATATTTATGATAAGAACGAGTGAATATTTACTTTAACTGAAGTCACTGATGATGTCTTTCTATTATAGTTAATGTTTCCCCCTCTCTTTGTCAGAACATTGGGTCTGAGGCGACCTGGGGTGTCCAGCATGGTGGGAGTGGTGCTCATCTTGGCCTTTACCTCGCATGTGTCCTACTTGACCTTTGTCAGTTTCGACTACGGCTACAACATGGCTGCTAACGCCTCTATCGGTACAGTAAATGCTCAAAAGGTCACACTAACGCTCAGATTTGCTTGGTTGTAATGGCTTATTTTTAATAGTTAGTTAATAGTATTTTCAGTACTTTTCTTGTCCTGGATTGTTCTTGTTTCCCATTTTCTAATTTTCCAGTTTTGTTCAGTCAGTAGTTAGAACAACTTATTTCATTCTTGGTTATCAAGTTTATTAAATTTCAGGTTACTGTCTTAAGATGACTCTTACCTGGTGCCCTGTCCTTCAAATGTCTTGTTTCTTATCTTTTAAAATGTATTTTGTCTTTAAAGGCATGGTAAATCTCCTGTGGTGGCTGTGTTGGTGCTGGCAGAACCGGCGGACCCTGCCATACTGGTGGAAGTGCGGCCTAGTGGTGCTGCTGCTTCATGGTCTGGCCCTGCTGGAGCTGCTGGACTTCCCTCCAATGCTCTGGATCCTAGATGCTCACGCTGTGTGGCACCTGAGCACTGTACCAGTCCACTTCCTTTTCTACAGGTTCGTGACGCTCACCTGCTCTGCCTTCGTTTCATAGCTTTCCTGCAGAGAAGCATTTCAGGCAGTGACTAAAAAAGAAAGGAAGATCGTGTTTTTTCCTACCTCATGAATGATCCTTACTTCTTTCTCCCTCCAGTTTCCTGATAGATGACAGCCTCTACCTACTAAACACAGAGAAGATGGGTGTCAAAGTCGAGTAGGAGGAGCTCATCGCCTCTTCACCACGTCTACACCCTCGCACCTCTCCAATCAGGGCAGCCGAACACGGAAGTAGCTCAGCCTCCCAGATGACATGCATGACAACACTATGACTTCCATCAAAGCAGACTTCGTTTACATTTCTCGTTTTAATTAGTTTTTTTTTGTGGATAATTTCTCTCTTCTTTTAGAATGATCAAGATTGATGTTTGCTCTACTTATCTTTGCCTTGTACTGACGTACTCTACGGTTCTTTTGCCATTCGCAAAAATAACTTCAAAACAGGATGAAGGAAAAGGTTTCCCACAGCATACACAGTTTTTGACTTCCAGTTGGGATGCATATCCTGTTTCTTTTGACTCTTGGGTACTTTGAAATTGAATCTCTGAACCCGCGATTTGACTCTCACCAGCCTCTTGGAAGTCCAACATGCTAGTTTCTGCACAAATGGCAGTTTGCGGTGACTGACAATAGATGGCACCAAATCTCTTGTCAGGCCATCATAACCTACTACTGTGTGGTACAGCATGTGTCAGGGTCCATCTGTGCCAAAAGTGGACTGGCGGACACAGAGAGGTGCCCCTTGTGAAGGGAGATTGTTCTAGAGAGAGGGGGAAGGGGGTTTATGTTTGGAGGCCATACTAGCTGACTGTGTTTTTTTTTTTCTTTTCTCGCCATCACACCTTTATTTTTGTGCCTCTGTTTGTTTCCACTGCTGCTTTTTTTTCTCTTCTTTATAATTTCAGATCTTCCTTCTCATCAGCTGCCTTTTAAATCCTTTTGTTTGTCTTCGACCAATTTGTGCTTTATTCTGTTGACAGTTTTACTTTGATTACTTGATTTTGAATTTTGGGTGGGATATGCCTGATGATCATAAGATGGAAATGTTACACTTATTCACCTGGATTGCCTTTTAGTGTGAGGAAAAGGAGAAAATTATTGAGGTAGGAATAATAAGCTACAGCAGGAAGCTGCAGTCAGTGGGGCTTTTTATTTTACATCAAGAGTTTCTAATAAATTCTGGGGTTAGGTGGTGTGTGTGAATGAGTGTTCATGTGTTTGTTTGACACCCATTATTTGGATTTGGTTGCATTTGTTGGTGTAATATTTCCCAGAATGGCCACACACACACACACACACACACACACACACACACACACACACACAACCAGCTGCTTTACAGATAACTGCCCCATCATGTGAAATACTCCTTTGTATTTCCCTCCATGTCTGCCTTACACACTGTATCATAACTTGCTTGTCAATGACAATATTTCTTTTTTTTAAAAGCAGATCTTTTTTTGCTCTCAAAGTTGGCATCAAAACTCTTGAATACATACCACGTATGTCTTCATCCCTCAGAGTTTCCCTTCCATATGTGCACTTTACGTGTGAGTCTGTACATTTACGTGCATTTTTTGTTTAAAATTCTGCCCATGCCTTTTGTATTTCTGTGCGAGAATGTGAACAATGACCACTATGTGTGTACACATTGCCTTGACTCGACATTGTGTTGTTTTTGCCATCATAAACTGAATCACTGTGTGTGTGTGTGTGAGAAAGAGAGAGAGCTAGATCGTGCTTGATCCTTTTCTAAAGCGACTGATGTGTGAGAATGTCTGTGTGTGTATGTTGGAGGATTGCTGCGTGAATGTGTGTGAGACGACGGGTAAATTTAGCTTTGCTGACAGCCTGTGATGGGGGTGGGGGAAGACTGAGGACGACAGACACGGAGAGGTTGTCATAGGTTTGGGTGGCAAAAAGATTCCAGAAATCACAGCAGAGATCCTGAGCTCATGAGATAAGAAACGTTATATAGTGCATATTCTAATTGTTATGGGCCAAGATATATTCTCTGATGTAGTAATGTTTATGAAGCACTGAGATTCATAAAATGGTGTCTGTGGTCCAATTATGACAAGAGACATACTTATAAAAAGCTAAAACAAGAACTGTTTGAACAAAATCTAATTTCAGTTTACCACAAAATCTAAAATCAAAACTGAAAGTGTTTTGTTTTCTGATAGAAAACTTGTTAAATCATTTCACTGGTATTTGTTTTAATAAGTTGAAGATTTCCTGAGGAATTAGCATGAACCAATCTCCAAAGTTTTTGCTGTGTAAATCATTTCATTGTTGACTTCATTCTTCCTCACTAATAACCTCCTGTTGCCTCACTCATCTGCTGCCCCCTGCCTGCTGCCCTGTGCACATCCACCTCTCCTACTGAGTGCACTCTCCTCCACCTCACATCTAATAGTTGACCAAAAAAAAAAAAAATATGAAAGAAATGGAACAAATAAAAGTATTCTTTGTTGATAAGGAATGGGGCTCGGCTGTGTCTTATTTTCCCCCTCCAACTTGAGAATTTCTGTCCTGTAAATGTGATTCTCTTCTTCAATTATCTGTTTTAGAGTTCCTATAAATATGCATAAACATGGCTAGACTAAAGGAATACTTCATACTGTACATACCAGTGACTGATAGCTGTTGGGCTCTATTGTCTCTGTGCACTGCTCATAGTTCATTTTGTTCATTCAAATGCAGTCAATATATAACAATGTAAAAATACTTCTATACAAGTTAATGTCCTGCATTTAAACTCCAGCTTAAGTAAAAGCACTACTGTTATCAGCTAAAAACTTTGTAAGTGTTAACACTGATGTACCAGTTGCATGGTACTGTTGCAGTTAAGTTTAGTCCAGTGTTCATGACGGATGTGTGAGAATTAATGGAGTAGGTAAGAGGAAAATGTTTTTCATCTTTACTTTTTTGTGAAATGTTGGATAATTGTACCTCTTTGTGCCTCAAAAGTTAATTTAAAATGAAACTGAGAAGTTAAGAGGGGAACTGATTACACATTGACACCTGGCCACAAATAGACAAACAGTTTCTTTAGTAAGGGTTCACAAGCCAAAAAGGTTAGAAACTGCTGGTTTAATACTCTATATAACATATAACAATGCATTATATTTTATAAGCTGATCACATTTATTTTATATAAAATCATATTTTTCTAAAGTAAATACTTGGAGTGGAGTAAAAATATTATATAATATTTCCCACTGAAATGTAGCAGAGTTGTGAATAAATTGACTTAGTTACATTCCACCACTGCATAACAACTTGTTTCTTTGTACCAGGTTTTGCCCAATATTTAGCCCTGATAATGTATTTTCTTCATGCACTGCTCATAATTCTTTATGTTCATTGAAATATATGAGACAGACATGCCCAACCCTTCTAACAGTATACTAATCTCAAGCTGCTAAAAGAACGTGTGTGTCTCCAGGAGACAAAAAGTGACTCCAAATTAAGTGATTATGTACTGCAGTCTGAAGGCCCTGCTGACCTTGTACCATTTGTGCAGTACTACATGTACACATTCACTATGAGCTGTCATTATGTCTCTATAATATCACAGACAGATTCCTCTATGTCTGCACTTGTTATGTTATGATCTGTGAGATGACATTAAGCTTTTCTTAGACTTTAAGGAGTATTTCCTGCAGCCTGCAAAGTAGTTGTCCTTGGACTCTCTCACATGAACACAGTATCTCTCACCCACTTGCTGGCCTCCTCCCTTTTCACCCCATGGAGACCCCAACAAATATAAATGTTGTATGTATGAGTCTCTTTTGTGTACAAACGTTAGAATCTGAATCGGTTTAATTGCCACATAGGTTTTCACATACTTATACTACTTATAATTTGCATATAATTAACATTATATGAAGATATAAATAAAGATGAAATAGAGACAATATATAGAAATATAAAAAGAGACAATATATACAATATACTGTTTACATTTAAATGGTTGAATGAAGAGCTGTACAGTTTGTGCAGGAATGTGCCAAATATTATCCAAGACTTGATGTTTGAGGACTCCTCATAGCGTATTAATTTTACAGAAGTTTACAGCTGGGAAAGCCGTACAACCAAAATGTACATTGACTCTGTGCCAGTGGCTGCAGCACAGTGACTTATTCTATGGGAATAATAATAATAATAATAATTCTATTCTTATTACTTATTCTGTGGGAATCAAACATCCAAACAAGACCAGGAGCATTAACCCTTGTGAACAATCTTGGACGTGTGCTCTGCGTGGCTCAGTGAGTAACTTTCTGTTGTTTCCTTATAGCTCTGTGCAGTGGGTTGGACTCTGACCCTGGCTGCTGTGGGTGGGGAGAGTGGATAGATTGGGATGAATGAGTTTATTCTTCCTCCTTCAACTCCTGATTTGTGACCGTGAAGTGAAGGGCATGAGAAATATGAAGATGCTCCAAGACGCTGCAACGCAAACCATTTCCCTTTTATAAATTCAACAGCTCTCGAAAGTCCACCGGTACAAAGAAGTTTAACTGGAATATTCATGATTGAGTTTGCGTAAACAGCATAACAATTAATTATATTACCAGATAAGGAGCCTCTTATGTGAGGCAAGGGAGGTCTGTTATGTGTTTAATGGATTACTGTAAAAAACTGTTCCTGGTCTGGATGCTCTGAAGCATTAATAAAGTTGTAAATAACATCTTTACAGATAGGCCATAGGTAGACCTGGCTTTCTGTAAGGTAGCAGGCCTCCAGAAATCCCATTTTATTTAACAATATTTACTCTAAAGTTCAGTTAAGATTATTACATTTATATCTTATGTTTTATGCAACAGTCTTAAATTTAGTCAGTTAAGGCATTTCTTGTGCTTTTCTTGAGCTAAAGTTAATTGGGATTTAGCCTTTAAAAACAGTTGTATTCTGTCCTCTGTGGAAAAAAATAAACATGACGAAATCCTCAGCTCGCATTAGGGGAATTTGAGATCTTGTGTGTGACTCCTACGAGGGTCTAAAAGTCATGATATCTCAGCCTCTTCTGCTTCGAGTCTTAAATCTGTCTCTCACAAAAACCCCCAACACACTAAATCCCTTACCTCTTTAAGAACATTGTGCGGATAATCTTTCACGTCCTTTTAATTTCTTGACTTCTTTATACAGTTTTGCTACTATAAGTAAATGAGCTGAATACGTCTTACACTATTGGTGTTTGGTTCTTCATATTTGATACCTTACTCGACCTGTGAAGATAGTTAGGATGGTAAAACTGCCAACTACGAGGGTGCCAAGCAACTTATTCAGAGATCCCTTCCAAATGTTTTTGAGACATATAAAAATAATCTGCTTTAAATAGTTGGCCTCTACGTGCTTCTAAATGTAAATAGTTCTTAGTTCCTTGTGTGTTTTTATCTCAGAGGTGTATTGTAGTACTCATACTTAAAATCTGAATCACATATTGAAACAATTTTAATCTTAACCAGGGTTTGAACTGTTTAACCATTCACCTGTTGCCTGCAGCTGGTGCACTTTTTATGTTCTTTCGTCCCTGCCCTTCAGACAGTCTGAGTCTGCCACATGTCTATATACAGCATGCAGGATTTATACAACGATGATGATGATGATGATGATGATGATGATGATGATGATGATGATATGTACAAGTTAAAACACAGATCAATCATTTCAATTGAAGGAACGAAATGGAAAACACATTTTGGAGCACAGAGAGACTTTAAAGTTAAAACAAACCTACCAATATTGTGTTCTAATTGAAGGAGTAACAACTATGAGCGTTTTCAGTGATAAAACATACTCAAGCACTGTACTTAAATACAAATTTGAGATACTTTACTTAAATGTTAAGTACTATACTACTTACTTTACTTAATGCCACTTTCTACTTCTACTACACTCAAAATGCAAATCTTGTACTTTTTATTTCTCTACATGTATCTGACAGCTTTAGTTACTTCACCAATCTGTATAGAATAAATTAAGTGTTTAAGATGCTTTCTTATAAATTAAACTGTAATATATAGCAATATCAATAATTGTTATCAATTAATAATTACTATTTTATTAATCATTTGAGTTAATTTCTTAATGCAAAAACATTATGTGGTTCCAGATTCTCATATGTGGTGATGTGCTGCTTTTTCTTTTACCCGTTTTATAATTTTTTATCTCTTGGTGGGACAAAAGAAGAACTGTGAAGGTGTCACTTTGGGCTCTGGGTAGTTGTGGCAGCATTTCTAACTGTGTTGATATATATAATAATATAACATGTGGTTTCTGCCTTTACTGTTAATACTTTAAAGACATTTTACTGCTTTAATATTTTTATTTAAGTTCTCAATGCAGAGAACAGAGTTGTATTGCTTTTACTGAATTAAAGGATCTGAATACTTAAGATGAGATGTTCCTTTATTGATCCCCCATAGGAGAAACTCAAGTCAGAAACAGCAGCATAGGGGAATATAGTGCAAAAAGTACAATAAAGAACAACAAAATAAGAATATTATAAGATATAATAGAAAATATAAGACTATAATGAAAACTATATGTATTTGTAGTAAATATTTTGCGCAAACTGTACATGTGAAGTATATTTTGTGTACTTCTTCCACCGCTGAGTGCGTTACGGCAGCACTGCCCCGCAGATAACTTGAAGTGAGGGCGGGCTGAGTCAACCTGCCACTCCCAGCTCAGGCCTTCACGGGCGCGCGCCTCTGCTCGTGCGCACTGTCACGCTTCACAACCGACAGGCACGGAATTCCAGGGAGGAAGTCACTGAGATTGGGAAACGAACAACAACTGCAAAGGTGCCAAAAGGGGGGAAAAAAAGAGAAAGAACTAACGTGGAGACGAGAGGAAGTCAGAATACGGCGGCTCTTCATTGGGAACAGTGTAAATCTAAGTTTTGGGAATATGGACTAGAGGCGCGGGGTCTCAGCAGATGGAGGCGGCGAGAAGTTTGGTGTTTGTCGGGGCCGTGCTGCTCGGAGTGACGGGCGCGTTGGGCAGAGAAGGTGGGTAACTTTCACAGCTTTTCTCGCCTTTAATGCCTCCGCGGTTGGCAAAAATCTGTCTACATGGGATGTTACAGTAGAGTCTGCGGGTTGTTGTTTTTTTTTTTGTTGGGGGTTAATTAATCTTCGAGCTTCAGCTTGGCTCAAAGAAGGTTGATATTTCTGTCTGGGACTACATTCCTCCGTGAGTCCGCAGCCCTCGTCCTCTCCTCTGAGGCTCGTGGGATTTATGAAGCGCTGATTAGGAGAGAAACAAAAAAAAATCCCACCTGTCACAAAGTAGCCTCCACTGAGATTTACTGTGTGTACAGAAAACACCGTGTTTGCAACTTGAAGCAAGCTTTTTGTTGCACAAATAAACCCACTGGAGCGGAGTAGCGCTTGTAGTAGTAATAGTGAAACAGGTAAGAAGTATGAGAACCTGCTTTGCAGCTTGCGGGGACTCATAGGAACACGGACTGACTTGTGCGTGCAGGCGGACGTTGGGCTGTTTTTTTTTTTTTTGCTTCTACGCGTAAACAAAAACAAATGCTAGAATAACAGACAGCGCATTGTGTGCCAGGGATCATGACGATGTCAATTATTCACTTCTGGCCTTAAAGAGGACATTGTCTTGTAGAGGGCCACTTGTCACACTCGGAGCTTGAGTGCATGCCAGTAAAACAAGAGCTAACTGAAAGTGCGAACAACGCATATTTGCGAGATAATCCTACAAATAAGGGATTTTATTTTGAAAAAAGTGTTGAAAATGCTGAAGCAGAAGGGGCATTAAATGATGTGTTGACATGTAGGATCTCATCTTGGTTAGGTGTTTAATCAATTGAGTCCAGAAACCGTCAATGATCCCTTTTTCTTCTTTTTGATTACAATATAATAAAGTGAATATTTTTCAGGTTTAGACTAAAGCACTTTAAAGAAGTTACTGACAGTTTCCTCTTTTTATTTTTTGACATTTTAAAGCCCAATCAGTTGATCTCAATCATAAAACTGAGCCGTATTTGCATCCGTAGTCCATAGTTGTGGTTGCATGGGGGCCCTCCTCATTGACAGAGATCTATTTTAAGTGGAATCAAATATCAATACGCCTGGTCAGAGGAGTTTAAAAGCATTTAATATGTCACAAGCTAATGGAAAAAATATTGACATCTGAGAACACTTCCCAATACAGTCTTTATTGACATGTACTTTTGACAGTTGACCCCAGCTCTAACACGATAACCTGAAATATCCTTACGTCCTCTAACTAAAAACATATTGTAGTCTTTTGTCCTGTATCAGCTGCTGCCCCTCAACAACCACCATCACTACTACACACAGAAACAAAGCAAATAGTCACAGGTGAAGTGATTTCCAAATAGGTCTGCATTGTTGGTGGGAACAGGTTGGTGCACCTTTACTCCACAGTGATGATCTCTAAAGCATCAGTTCAGGGCGAACGCTGTGATTGGTCCGTGATCGAGTTGGGCCCAAGCGGATAAATCTGAGCAGCCTTTACTTTGAGTTATTACGTGTTATTATGTCAGTGTTTTCGTCCACACACACACACACACACACACACACACACACACATACATCATGTGGCCAACAAGGGTATGATTTCAAAGGTCAGCAGTGTAAGGTGTTGGTCCTTTTTTAAGTGAATTATTTCAGCAGCTTACCCCAGTGTGAGAACATATTTTGTGTTTGTGTTTGTGTGTGTGTGTGTGTGTGTGTGTGTGTGTGTGTGTGTTCGGTGGCCTCGGTATCCACAGGGTTCATGTCCTTGTTACGCTCCAGTGCCCACATTGAGCGAAACTCACAGCAAAGTGATTAAGTCCTACCGAACTGGCCTCGGTGGCAGGTTAACTCAGCCAGCCGTGACTCACCCGTCTACGCTGCTGTTGGTGATCTGACTGACTGAGCTGAGGAAGGGGCCGTCAGTGGAACTCATTATTGGCCTCAGAGGAAACTTTCAACACCTTTTTTTGTGTGCTTTTCTTGGGTTTGAGTTACCCAATCTTCAACCTGCATTTAATGTACACTGACACACATCAATACAGTTTTTAAATGATTCATAGCAGCTTTGTAAGGAGTAAACTATTTCTTCATAAAACCAAATCATCATGTTGATTTTCAGTGCACCCGTCTTCAGAGACCAGGTTTCTACTCGAGATCTGTGTTTTAGAGGAACAATGTCTGTTTGCGTCCTTTATCAATAGGTCATTTCCTGGTAGGTAGACTTGGGCACTGACTCAAAATGAAAATGAAATGATCATCTGGTGACCTAGGAGTTTAATACACTGACTATGTAATTGCAAAGTAACCGATCCAGCAGGGGCTCTTCGTTGCACGTCACCCCTCTTCTCTCTCCCCTCATTTGCTGTCACCTCTCTACTGTTGTATTCATAAATAAAGGCAAAAATGCCCAAAAAAGATTAAAATGTATCATTTCAGGTCCGTATTATCGTCGATCTATTCAGAAGAATCACATGTTGATAAAATAAGAAATACAGTTACTTGTTATTAGTTACTGACTAATGGCTTTGATAACTTGGTTAATAAATACTGTAGTAATGTGTTATAGACAGTGCTGTAGTGCTGGGTATATGGAGCATACCCGGTCAACATTGGGTATACCCACTTCTAAATCCCCTCTGATGCACATCTTTCAGTGTTTTTCTTTGGTTGGCAAAGGAATGACAGTCATTTTTATGAGTGGATGGAGTAAGGAATAAAGAATGCTTCACTGAAATTGTATAATTATGTAGTTCCTTCACCTGTACGGCCAGTACTGATTGCAAAATCTGCACCTCTTCTGTGACTAATGTTCATTTCATAATGATCCTGAACTCCCTGAAGTCAAGCAGCAGAAGTTAAGTGACAATGTTTAATACTGCTGGCCAATTTTTAAGTGAAGTATGGATGTCACTGTTTATAACACAGACTGTTTATCCTTTACTGGACAGGCTGCTCAAAATAAAACTGGGGCCTAGGTTAAGAGTATACCCACTTCTCCAGGCACCACTACACCACTGGTTATAGATCAATTACACGCATTAATAGGAGCAACTCTGGGGTTGCCAGGTTATAACAGTTATAAAGGACCAGTGTGTAAGATTTAGTGGCATCTAGCGGTGAAGTTTCAGACTGGCGTCTGCGTCTCTCGATGTGTGAACGGGCTGTAAAGTGTGTAGGATACACTTGCGCAAAAGGCCATATCTACAGCCAGTGTTTGGTTTGTCTGTTCTGGGCTACTGTAGAAACATGGCGGTTCAACACGGCTCCATGGAAGGCGACCCGTAATAATGGTTTATAAATTATCTGTAATGTAATGATAAATAGTAAATGATTCACGAACCATATAGTGACATGTTTTTCAATGTTTTCAATCATATTCCTCAAAATTAACTACAAAGGAACCAGTTAGATTATCAGCCATTAGTTAGTTAGTCAGCCATTATCATACAGACCAATACACACAGAACATCTGTTATGTAAACTGATAGTAACATTTCTCTCTAGACTCTTTGTCTACACTTTTAATGTACATTTCTTCCCTTTGAAATGAACTGTACATGTACATTTACTTGCAGATGCTTTCAAACTGTAGTAAATGTGTAAAAAAAAAACCAACTATGCAGGACATTCTGATGCGGTGGTGTCGTATGTGTTTGTAGTCGTGACAGAGCGAATGAGTGAGGAGTTCATGTCTGTAGCTACAGTACAGTACGGATCCTGTTCTGCTTGTCTGTTGAGCAATACCTGTTTTTTCTTCCTCGGCTGTAGAGTGAAGCGTAAGAAAGAATGTGTTCAGGGAGGTTGGGAGAAATTGGAAGTTTATGCAAGACATGTTGCTAGGATTAACGTTGCATTAGATTTAGGACCGACATGTTAGAGCTGAGGGATAATGAACTGACGGAGAAAGTCCTGTTGGATCAGCTTGTTCTGTTTGTGTTGAGCTTTGAAAGGATCTGATCCATTAGAGGAGAGTCTGGGCCAGAGGATCCTGTTGACTGTTCTGGTGCGGCACTCTGCTGGCTTTTCCCCACCATGGTTCAGTCTAACTCCTGCAATAGCATCACTACCACTGCTCCTGTCACTAACTGTACACAAACTGGTAAACACATGCACACTCCCTGTGCTAACTGGCACCCTGCCACACACAGGTGTGGCTTCAAGCTGGCTTAAAGTCTGCACACTGGTAGAAGACACAGTCAGTTTACAGGTTAAGATCAAATCAGTGAATATTTATTCTTATAAGATACAGTCTGTCATCACTAACCAGCCAGTAACTTCAAAAACAGTGGGGAAAGGCCTCCTAACTAGTGGGTAAAAAAATTACTAACAGTTTTAAACGAGGAATTAATCATTCAAGTCATTCATCAAGCAAAAAGGCCAAACATCCACCAGTTTAAGCTTATTAAATGCGATGCCTGACATTGCCATAGGCTCTAAAGGTGTGAATGTTTTTTGACATTTTATGGATCAAACCATTGATCACTTAAATTAAAAAAGGTCGCTGCCTTTAACAGGAGTGACGTATATGTTGTAACAGAGGCTGAACACTCCCTCCCCCCACACCTTTCCAACAACAGACAATACGACATTCACGTCCACTTCATGCAGCGATTGGCCAGCTGTACCATAACACAACACAAAGGTGAGAAAGTAAGCAAGGTTCAGATTTCTTCGTTAAGTTCCCTTTTTATTCTTTACACAACTACAGTGTCTCACATTGTTGTAAGAGAGCTCCAATCAGGATTTTTGGGCCAATTGCTGGTATCGACTGTTTTTTTATTTATGTATCAGCAGCTTTCATTGGACCAAAATAAATGCATCATCTGATCAGCCTTTTATAGAGACCACCGATCTATTTAGAACAAATATTAGCCGTTCTGCTTTTCACCCTACAACTCTGAGCACATTTGCCTTCCGATGAGGCTGGACAACATGTCATAGAAAAACTATTTCGTTCATTTCAAGTTCCTGTGATGCATTAAAATCTGCCTCAGGAATAATGGCAGAACACTGAATGAGATCACAGTGAATGCTAGATTGTTCTTGTAAGTGCAAAGGAGCAGGCGCTGATTTAAGAAATAACAGAAATGTTAAAAGCTTGCACTCCGAAGCCAAACTGAACATAGAAGGACTCGACTGTCATCAAGTAGTAAATGCTTAAAATGTGGACAAAAGGCAGGAAGTAGACATTCTCTCTCATTTCTCGTTAGCCACAGAAACACCTGACCAATGGAAGTTTCCAGAGCCAAGTTGCCATGATACGCTGTGCAGAAGCCAGTACTAATACGTGCACTAAACTGAGTGTGTGTGTGTGTGTGGCAGTCAATTGTTGTGCAGGTGATATTCTGGACACAGTGTGTCTTATGATCTGGAGGGTCACAGGTTAGTGTTGTGTCTTTGAACAAGACGCTGAACTACAACCCGGATTCTCTCGGTCCCCCCTCACTTGTGAAATGCATACACGTGTCATCTTTTAGACATGCAGAGACTCACATTCCTGTGAAATGACACTTTCCAGAGAGCAAAAAGAGTTGAACAACGGCTCATGGACTCTGACAAAATGAAATGAAATGGGGGCGACTTGAGGAGAAATTTACTTGGCTGTGAAACCAGGTAATAAAAAGATTTAGTGAGTGAATTTGGAAGAGGAAGGCAGGGATAGTGACATGACAGTGGGCCGATAGAGCTAAGTAAGTGATAAAAGAGAGTGTATTTTAGGCCACGGGGGGATGGAGGGGTGTGCAGCTCCTCACAAGGCCACGCACAGACACACAGGCGTTGCTGAGAGACTTTTGGAGAGCAAACAATGAGGGAATAAAAGGAGAGGAAGCTGAGAACTGGCTTTACACTCGCTTTTTAGAAATGGAAAATCTTCTCTGTTGTGCTTTCTGTTACGGCACATTTACCTAATCCCCAGAGCTGGAGCCGTCTGCGATGTTTGTGTATGTGTGTGGTAGTTTTGTTGCGAATCTGGGAGTCAGTTTCTGTTTAGATATTCTGTCTTACTAAAATGATTTAAATGCTGGAGAATAAAAGCACGACTACCCTCTTGGCTTAACTTGTAAAACTATTTTCCATGATGACATCACCGAAGGACGCCGTGATTAGTCATTTGATTCGATATTTGACACAAGCTGCAACGACTTGGTGTGTATTTTTGGCTGCGTCTCTATTAATCATAGACCCATTTGCTGCTGTAGCTTGCTGTCAGATTTTAATACGGACCTTATTTACACTATACCTACAGCTGAGATGCAGGGGCTGAAATATGGGTCAAGTTCTGAGTGCTCAGCCACCACCAGGAAACTTTACACGTGGCAGACGCACATACGTGATATCAGCGTGTCTAGAGCACATATCACCTTAGCCCAGTGTATCATGAAAATCACCCCCCTTCCTCCTGCCTGCCTGCCTGCACTTCCTGTTCCTCCGGTGATGTATCCATCCTGCCGTCTTTCCCTAAAGGAGGAACAGCGATATCACGGGGGGAGGAGGAGGAGGCTTCAATCAGGAAAAGTGGGTTGACTATTGAAGGGCTGTTGGAAGGTAGCCAGAGGAAGTCATTTATAACCCCAGCAGAGGAGGGACTGTCCACTGTGTGACTGCCTGCTAAAGCATGGGAGCTATGTGTGCGCGACAGCCCCCATGAATTGTAGCGCTGTATGACCCTGAATGTAATGCTGTGTGTGACCCACTGTGGGGAATCTGTGCTCTCTGCTGCCAGTGGAAAATATATCATATACACTAAGAGACAGACAGAGGCAGCGCAGATGGTGTGTGTTTCAGTGTAACCATTCAAGGCCACTTGTAAACAGTCGAAATACGTGGAAGTCCTTACAGTCATCATCATTGGGAGTTTCAATGCATATACATATACACATGTAAACATGTTTGAAAACTTTAGAAGTAAAAAAAATCAACTAATTAGATTCTTTATTTAAAGACTTTGTCTAGATCTCTCAGAGGTTACAATATTTTTTACTCAGTTTATGTGAACAGGTGAAGCAGAATAATCATCAGTCTCTTATTAACCACAGAACCACAGAAAAGTGGTCATAAAAATGAATTTAGTTTAGTTAAGTGCTGCAACTAATTATTATTTTTATTGTCATGTTATTTTTTAAATGAATTAAGTAATTGTTTAGTTTATAAAATGTAAGGTGGTGTCTTTAATTCCGTCCTGTTGTTTGACCAACGGTCGAAAACCCAAATATATTGAGTTTATAATGATATATAGCAGAAAATAGCAGCAGAAGTTTTGAGAAACATTTGAAATGTTTGGTAATGTTGCTTATGCATTATTTAAATAATGAATCATTTTAGAAATTGTCGGGCATTCATTTTTAATTAGCCAATTTTTCAGCACTAAACAGAATAATCAGCAGGACGTCTTCAGCACTTTAACAGGGATATGAGCTTATTGTCTGTTTTTTACTGGCCTCTGTGTTGTGAATGTATTTACAAGAGATCAAATCAATATTTTATATTTACTGTCAGTTTTTCTTTATTAAGTACTTGAATTGGGTCGCTCAGTTGTTACACAATCATGCTAAAAACCTCATGCACCAGTTAAGCTGCCAGCAACTATTTTGAGGAGTTAAAGGTGCTTTTTGAAATTTTCTTACTTTCGTTAAAAGTTGTTCTGACAATTGATTCTAGTTGCATTTGTGTGTCTCTTAATTGTGGATAAATATTCAGTCTAATGGAAGTTTTTTGCGTCCTTTCCTTTTTTTTTTAGGTGATACCTTTCTCTGTTCAAATGTATTTGAAAAACAATAAAACAGCATTAGCTGTTGAGAAGATGATAAAGGCTTTAAATAGTAGTTCACATAGAGGATGACGTCGGGGTCATGTGTTACGTGTGTTACAGTATGCCTGGGTACAGACATGAAGTTGGACCTGCCCTCCAGCCTGGAAAATCACTACGAGACCCTGAGGCTGCTCTACACTGGCTGCCAGGTCGTCCATGGCAACCTGGAGATTACACACCTTCACGGAAACCCTGATCTCTCCTTCTTAGAGGTATATACTGTAATAATGGCTACATAAAATGAGACAATAATACATTAGAAATGAGTTTGCAATATAACAGGTGATCCAGTACAGTGACCAATTTTAAAATAATGGATTTTAGAGATGGAAACAAGTTGCCCCGGTAGACTGATCCTTTTTTTCCTCTTCACCTCTTCTTCAGGGGATCGTGGAGGTACAGGGCTATGTGCTTGTGGCCCACGTGTCAGTGAATCTGGTGCCTTTGGAAAACCTTCGGATAATAAGAGGCAGTCAACTGTACAACTCCAGCTACGCCCTGGCTGTGCTGGATAACACTCTGAATGGACAGGGGCTCAGGACACTCCGGCTTCGTAACCTCACAGGTCAGATAATAATATATTACTAATAATATAGTAGAGCTCAGAGTTGCTAACAAGACTGGACTGAACTAGGGTTTAAACATGCTCAAATATATTGAGCTTATGTTTATTGGAAGATTGGAGTTTTATGCCCTCCTTTCATCCAGCATCTGATATCTACAGTGACAGTAAGTTGAGCTCCTCTTATGTATTGTCTCCTCTCTAGAGATCCTGTTGGGTGCGGTGTATATTTGGGGGAACCCCCAGCTGTGCTTCCCGGACCCCAAGACCATCGACTGGCATGACACTTTGGACGAGCATAACATCCACCAACTGCACCAACTGCAGCCTCGGTCCCCTAAATGTGAGCAGCTGATTGAAATATTGAACATCACATACAGGAAGATACATTTCACAATGTGCCACAATACAACACTTCAGCATCTGTAGGAAAAGAAAATTGACTTTCTTTACAGTTTACTGTACACATATACAAATGCACATTTACATTAAGTGGTCAAACAGCCAGACGCCCACTGGATTATGCAGGCACATTATGTAAAGGCATGTCTCTAGCAACACTGGCACTGTGGCAACTATTAGATGTTAGTCCAGACTGTAATATCTCAGTTGTCGGATGGATTGCTGTGAAATACTTTAGTACAGACATTCATTGTCATCAGACGATGGATCCTACGGATTTGGTGATCTCTTGAGTTTTCCTCTTGTGTTGTCATAAGAGTTTCATTTGTGGTTTTAGGTTGAAATATCTTCACAACCATAGAGACAGAACGCAGCATGTTATATTTTGACACTCCCACCAGAGGGGAAAACCATAGGTGCCACAATATGCACCAGAGAGAAAATGCTATACTGACAGTGAAATAAGTGAAATACTATGATGTATTCATCATTTAACCTAACATAGGGCTGTCATAGATGGAGACACTATATTGTCTATGGCTCACCATAAAGACCGGCAACAAAAGCCAATTTTTGCGACACCTCACGTTGCCTGTGCCTGTGCCAAAAATTAAACAATCCTTTCTTGCTTGCCCTCTCAACAAAGCTTGCTTTGCTCACTTCCGTTTCTCTTTCCGTGCACTGATTTCGCTTAATCTGAATAGCCAATCAAAGTGATGGCCCCACAAAAACAGACGGTCCGACATTGACCGACGCTCAGGGTGTCAGGGCCTTGAACGGCGCAAATATCTGACGTACAGCCCAACAGAGCTGCTTTAGACTCTTAGTTTTGTTTTTCTCTTTCTCTGTTAAATCGTTAAATTGTGGGATAAATGCTCAGCTCTCCTTATTTGTGTTTTCTCTGGTACAGGTCCAAATTGTTCCACTAAATGTAAGGCAGGGTGCTGGGGAGAAACTGAACAGGACTGCCAGACCGGTGGGTTAACATCATGTGCAGAATATTACAATATTTGGTTTTCGCTGGAAAATAATCCAGAACGAGTGATGTTCAGTTGAAAATGTTCACCTTTTCATCTTTGTTCAAAGTGACCCGAAAATTATGTGTGTCTGGCTGTCAACGGTGTAAAGGGCACCAGCCCAGTGACTGTTGTCACATGCAGTGTGCTGCTGGTTGCACTGGACCCAAAGACTCGGACTGTCTGGTAAATGATACACACCCACACACACACACACACATACGTATCAGATATTTGTTGTGGTTTTTTGTCTTGTGTTGTCAGACAATCTTTTGTTATTTCTGGTGTTAAATGTTTTGTCCCTCCTCTTCTCCCCAGGCTTGCCGTCACTTCAACGACAGCGGTGTGTGTAAGGAGAACTGTCCTGCTCCTACTATCTACGACACCGTCACCTTCCAGACCAAACCCAACCCAGACAAGAAGTTCAACTTTGGAGCCACCTGTGTCAAGACGTGTCCTTGTGAGAACTTATTTTGAAAATACCTTGTTTATCCAAAAAAGTGCTCAGCTAGTGGCCTCTATGCAGCTCCACTGGTGCACCTGATGATTAAATGACTTGCTATTGGACGCCTTGATGATTTTGGTTGCTAAAGGGAGAAAAGATGATTTATTTTCTTTCCTTGCCAAAATGTCCAACACACTCCAAGGATTCAAACATTTCAATGTCACATGTCTGCTTCCGTAATGCTTCAGGCTACCAACTTCCCATTTTATCATACCTTATTAATTTTCTTTTGTTGCAACGCCCTTTAAACACTTCGCCTCCCTGTCTGTAGATAACTATCTGGCTATGGAAGTGGCCTGTACTTTGGTTTGTCCCAAAGCCAACCAGGAAGTTATCGTCACACACCCTGATGGAGACGAGATGCAGGAATGTGATAAGTGTGAAGGAGACTGTCCTAAAGGTGGGTATTTATTTTTAGGTACATTTGTGATTAGTTAATTAGTGATTTTTTGGATTTCCGTGAACAGCACTGTCAGGGGTTTACAGAGAATGGTGAGAAAAAAAAACATCCAGTGAGCTGCAGTTCTGTGAGCAAAAACTCCTTGTTGCATAACTAATGTTCTGGATTACTTTTTAGTTACGCAGGTGATTTGTGTTACACGTACTGATGTATGACGACAGCGGTGCCAAGTTAACTAACTGGTTTCTGCAGTAGCTTGTTGTTGTGGTTACAACTGGGGTTTGTCTCTCAAATCAGGATTGGTAAATTTAGATTATTGAAATAATTTATTCGTAGTAAAACTAAGTACTTATTTTCTAGACATTAGGGGTTCCGCATTTACTCAGTGCTGCTTTGTCAGACCCCAGCTATCAAGCTAGCAAGTTATGCTACTGAACTGCATAAGTTTTCTTGAACTTTCTGGCCTTAGTTTGGACCTCTGTTGTTAGCCTTCAACAAAGCTATTTTTAAAGGTGCATTCACAACAAACACTGATTTAGCTCTTAATTTTCTAGTAAATGAAAGGAGGGGAGAAGCAGATTAAAGTAGGCTTAGTTTGTGAGTAAACACTAAACTAAGGTGGACAATTAAGAAGGTGAAATAAGAAATGAGCTACTAGAAATAGAAATATACCACCCTTCCTTCCATTTATTGTATGCCACTGTATAATTGTTAATATACTGCTCTGCTCCCAATAACCAGCGTAGGCTGCTCTGGTTTAAGTTGTGTCTCTAAGAGAGAGAGTGGAATATGATACTTTCTCATGTCTTAATTTTAATACTTAATACACAATGTTGTACTAATAGTTACATAGATATGGCTACACGATAAACAGAAGGCTTCAAATAGACCCAGTGATCGGTTTCAGTCGACACTGGTGATCATCCCCAAAATCCCTGATTGGCACCCTTAAAGATACATATCAGATCAGACAGGGTTTATTAAGGAATCATCAGTTGGGATTTCACCAGCTACTCCTTCACGTCATCGATACATGAATCCGCCAATCACTGTATACCCTTGTTGTTCAGTGCGATACACCATACAACATTTAATTCTATGCTGATGATATCCTGGTTCATATGAAAAGGTTGTTGAGTCATTATATTGGACATCAAGTTCATTTTCAAGATAAATTGGTTATAAGTTGTGATTTGTATTGCAGTGTGTTATGGTCTGGGTGTGGACAACCATGGTGTCATGGACAACCATGGTGTCACCATGGTAACATCTACTAATGTGGATCAGTTCAACAAGTGTAAGAAGATTTTTGGTAGTCTGGCTTTCCTCCCTCAGAGCTTTGCAAGGTAAGAGACACACGGGCCAGATATAGAACATGCATACAGTTTTAGCTCACAAAGATACTTCACAAATGACAAAATTAACTCAACTTAAACTTAACGTGCCCTTTAGTAACCACAAATAGTAGCTTGATACCCAAGACTTTACTGCCACAGCGCCACATCCCTCCTATTCAGCTCTTCAAATATTTGAGTAATATAGAGCAACATTTCAAGGCTTTGTGTAAGTCAAGGAGAAAGTTGCCACACATGCCAAACCCTTTAGATTACTGTATTCAATTCACTTCAAACATAGACATTTATGTTTTTCAGCTTTAAAGTATCTTTGTGTAGCAGAGAAAAAGAACTGCTTATGTGTCTTTTCTCCTCATTGTATTTTTTTATTTAAATGAAATCTAATTAAATCTCTGTGGGCGTTAATTAAAAGGTTGCTGGATTTGCCTACGTGACACCAGCTGAAGCTGAGATGCCAAATCCCTGATAAATGATCTTGCATAGTCCAACTGTTCACAATTTAAGTGTGAAATGTAAACACAAACTTGAGGAAACCTGCACCACTGGAGATTGTATCAGTAAATAGAGAGAGAAGAGAAGATCATTATCCAGAAACCATCAAATGATAGATTGATTCTTTTGTCTTGTGTGTTAAATTGTCATTTAAATCTTATGTTGTCATTGTTCAGGGACCCTGTGAGCAACACATCAGGCCTGACCCTTGAGCAACTGAGTGCCTTCAAGACACTGGAGGAGATTACAGGTACTGAACTATTCTTTTAAGCTTTTATCACAAAAAGAAAATCAGGTTATTCATTTTCAGCTTTATGTGACTCTTACATTTGAACTGAAATTAATTTCTCTAGTTCAGTCTAATTTTCCATGTATCACCACATAGAAGCCTGGTATACAGAGCACACTGTATCTCCTCAGATTTTATTATCTTTGTCTGATTCTGCTGTGCAGGTTATGTGTACATTGAGGCCTGGCCAGAAGAGTGGGCTAACTTGAGTGTGTTTGAGAACCTGAAGGTGATCAGAGGCAGGATGCTCTACAAGTAAGACTTTTAAACTTTTCTCTGCACGTCAGCATATTAACCTTGTTTTCTTGCACCATTGTTGTTGGTTTTTACTAAACTAAAATCAAAACTCACTCACTCTACTCTACAGGGTTTTTGCCATTGTGATTTCAGCTGCCTGCAGAATGTTTTATGCAGCTTTATACTGACACAGAAAATCTTACACTTGCACAGCTTGGTTCTTTGTGCTCAGTTTTTTTTTAATTATTTCTCTGCTTCAGTTGAGGCAGTTTGTTCACTTTCAGAGTTATAAAGGCTAATTATTAGCCAGGACAGCTGCTTTAACGCCAGTAAGGATGACAATAAAAGTCTATGGGAGACACGGTATCTAGTGTAGCATACTGAAATTAGGTCATACTAACAAATGTGAGATCTGTGATCTTTACTGTTGTAATTAAAGTTTCTTCCTTTCTGTTTTTCTTTCATTTGTGTTTTTCATTTGCTTCCATGTGAAGTGGTATTTATTTATTTGTGACTTGCTTGTAATTTTTCCAGCTTTCTTTATTATACTAGTGATAATTCCTTTTTTTGTTTTTCAAATTCTGTTCAGGGGTGTGTTTTCACTTGCCATTCAGAATCTACACATCCAGTCTCTTGGGTTGCGTTCACTACGCAGTGTCAGTGGAGGTCTGGTTCTGTTGCACAACAATTCCCAGCTGTGTTATACCAGTTCATTGCCCTGGGAGAGTCTCCTCCATCCCACCCAGGGACCCCACCGCATTGTCAGCAACAACCAGAACCCCCAAGTCTGTGGTAGGTGAACATAGCAGTGTCAAGGTCCATTACAGTTACTGTGTGTTGCACTTTGATCAGACACTTGTTATTTGGCAGCCGTCTCTATCCAAGTGAATACCTCAGCCAGATACAAGATTCAATTCCTTTTATTGTTCCAACACAAATCAAGCTGCAGAATATACTGTTTTAGGAACTGCATTTTAAACAACATTCATGGATGTGGTTGCAAGAGACAGTCGGCGCTTGTCTGCACAGTCCTTCTTGAGAATGTCTCTGTGCTTTTTTTTTGCAATTTTCTCATTAAAAATAGATTTAAACTCTATATTTTAAGCTCTCACAAACTGCCATAAAAATAAAGTTGAGAACAAACTCTGTAATGCAGTGTGATAGTAAGCCCTGTTAACTATTCAAGGAAGAGAAGACAACAAAAAATACAATGTGCATAATGCTCTCTTTTCTCTGTTTCTTTATGTGTTTTCAGAGGAAGAGGGACATGTTTGTCACCCACTGTGTGAGGGGGGCTGCTGGGGCCCGGGACCCAGCCAGTGTGTGTCCTGCAAAGCTTTCCAACGTGGCACTGAGTGTGTAGAGCAGTGTGACATCTATCAGGGGTAAGGAGGTTTGTGTGTGTGTTTGTGTAGGTGTGGCTGTACTAAATCAATAAAAAAGTCAAGTGATAATGTTCCAAATAATGTAGTACGCTATGTGTCATAATTCCCAAGAAAGCTTTCCAGTGGAATAAGCAAAACTAATAAGGTTCACTGCATTGGAAGCAAGTTACAAAGTAGTCTAAATAAATAAATCTGAAAACTTTTGGCTTAAATTGTCCCCTTTAGCAAATACATGTGATATGTATGGAATTGACAAATTTCCAAGATGACACAGAAGTAAAATAAATTAGTAGAGATCCATTTTGAATTTGTCAGTTTGATGATATATGTGCATGCTTCAGACAGCTTAAAATACCCAACTGATGATGTCATTCTACACAAAAAGCATGACTGGACATTTCATATGTGCTACAATTCAACAATTAATGTTGGTAATAATTATTGGACAAATAATTGGACAATAAAAAAGAGTCCTGGTTCTCTCAAAAAATATGTTTGTTGCTCATGTTAGCATTATTGTACTGTACAGATGTGAGAGTGGTATCGATCTTCTCATCTAACTCAGCAAAAAGTGAATGAAGCATATTTTCTTCTATTTTCTTAACAAATGAATATCATGGTATGATCCTATCATCACAATACGATGACACTGAAAGTTGATAAACAATAATAAACATTGTTGCTCAGCCCTTTGAGGTCCAGAGAAGTTATCTTGTGCAGGTCATCTGGTAAGGTTAACGTTGGCAGTGATTGGCAGCTGGGGCCCCCCTTTCTAAAAATGCATGTCCTTATGACAGTGTCAGGTGCTTTAGATAAGCATCCAACAAATGCCAGACAGTGTAATATGATGTTATCTTACATCCTTGCTGTGCTTGTGTTCCAGGTCTATACGTGAATACGCAGATGGACCTTTGTGCATTGCTTGTCACGCAGAGTGTCGATCTCTCAATGGCTCTGTCTCCTGTCATGGCCCGGTAAGATCCTTGTGTGGCTTACAGTCTTTCTGACTGTACAGTGCTAAATGGTATAATAATGATGAGTTTTATACCAAAATAAAATCTGAAAATGCCTCATCTACTAACTATCTACTAACCATAATGATGCTTGTTGTCCGACAAAAAGGGGTTAATTTTTTTCAGGCTGCAACTCATGGACAAGACGTCAGCATGTTCAATTATTGCCAGAACTGTGTAAAAGTCACTATTTTCAACATCGCCTGTTTGTTCAGTTCAAACATTACTTTTTTCTTTACAAATTGCCCAAAACTGCTGATTCCACTGACCCTGGAAGAGAAACATTTCATCATGGTCGAGTCCAAATGGCTCTCACTCCAATTCAGAATAGAGTATCTGTTTAATAAGTCAGTCTTTAAGGATATGTAATCCTTAGATAAAATAATAAGCAGGGGAGCTTTGTTGCATGCCATCTCCTTTTGCTCTTTCACAACGTTTCCTGCCTGTCTCTGCTGTAAAAACTGTCAGATAAACTCAAATATCTAATCTAGATAAAGTTATCTTATTATACCTGTGTGGATATGTGACATTTTTTTTTTTTTTTTTATAAATGTACTGAAATATTATTTATTTGTGTGTCTACAGGGTGCAGAACATTGCGCAGAGTGTAAAAAATACCAAGACGGTGAGTTTTGTGTGGATCACTGTCCCAGTGGTGTGAAGGAGGATCAGCAAACTGTGTGGAAGTACAGCAATGCCACAGGACACTGTCTGCCCTGCAACACCAACTGCACACTGTCGTAAGTGGACACACATCACAAACACAAACATACACTGCAGCGCACCAACAATAAAAAACTATTGTTTCTCTGTTTCAGCTGCACTGTGATGGATGAGAGAGGCTGTCCCGTTGATACCAGGACAGGGTGAGCTACTTTTTCTTCAACATCTTTTTCTGAATGAAATTGAACAAATTCAACCAGGATTTTTCTCACTTCTTCTAGGAATCAGAGCTGTGTTGAACTTGTTTTCTCTGTTTTAGAGCGGGTACAACCATCACGGCTGCAGTGGGTGGGGTGGTGCTCTTCTTCATCCTGCTGGCTCTGCTGGTCTTCTATCTGAGGAGGCAGAAAAAGCTAAAGAGGAAGGAGACAATGAGGAGGATCTTGCAAGAGCATGAGGTGGGCACAAATACAAGTACTGATGTTTTATCTTTTGCTGGAAGTTGAATACCAAATATAACCATGAGACATGGTTAATTTCTTTTAATTAAATATCAGTCAGTTCTTAGGTTGCCCTTGGGTTTAGTAGTGTCTAATGAAGGAATCTGCCATCTGCTTCCTTCATGTGTACAGCTGGTGGAGCCTCTAACACCCAGTGGTGCATCACCCAATCAGGCTCAGATGCGTATCCTGAAGGAAACTGAGTTGCAAAAACTCAGGGTGCTGGGTGCAGGGGCCTTTGGTACTGTTTACAAGGTATGTGAGACAGTATGACAGCACTGGTTGTTAATTAGATATTTAACTTTACATCTTTGGTGAGTTTTTTTTAAACGGTTTTGATGATTTGCTTTCAGGGAGTGTGGGCTCCTGATGGGGAAAATGTGAAAATACCAGTAGCCATCAAGGTGTTGCGTGAGAACACTTCCCCAAAGGCCAATAAAGAGATCCTTGATGTGAGTGCAAGCCAAATTCACACATTCACATTTATAGGACACATAAATAGAGTTGGCAAGCCCTGAAGATCTTCCCTCCATCTTTCCTAGGAGGCCTATGTGATGGCGGGAGTGGCCAGCCCGTACGTGTGTCGTCTGCTGGGGATTTGTCTCACTTCCACGGTGCAGCTGGTGACTCAGCTGATGCCGTACGGCTGCCTCCTCGACTACGTCAGGGAGAACAAGGATCGCATCGGGTCCCAGTTCCTCCTCAACTGGTGTGTCCAGATTGCCAAGGTATGAAACAACATCTTATCTTTTTGTTGGTTTAGGTGCACAAATTACAGTTTGTAGTAGTACTGAAATAAAAGTGTATACTTTTTAGAGGCAAAACGGCAGTGTCTGATTATCTTATTTTTCCTTTCAAATTTGATGTGGTATCAGCTTGTATATTTGTGGACACATGGATTTGTGGGTGATGGGTGTTTTGTGTGTGTGTGTGTGTGTGTGTGTGTGTGTGTGTGTGTGTGTTGGGGTAGGGGATGAGTTATCTGGAGGAAGTCCGACTGGTTCACAGAGATTTGGCTGCCCGCAATGTTCTGGTTAAGAACCCGAACCACGTGAAGATCACAGACTTCGGCCTGGCCCGTTTGCTCGATATAGACGAGACTGAATATCACGCTGATGGAGGGAAGGTAAGATGGGGCTGTGACTGAAGGACATTTGAACGTTCACAATTATTTATTTATTTATTTAAACTCATGTTCTGTATCTATGTTTCTAGGTGCCGATTAAATGGATGGCCCTGGAGTCAATTCTGCACAGGAAGTTCACTCATCAGAGTGACGTCTGGAGCTACGGTTAGTATGACGGCTGGAAATGACATTACAAAAAACTGTGGAGGCATTTTTGGAAGTTGGGTTTCCATGGGTTTACAAATTGTTGTAAATCCCTGTTGGAGAAATAAATAGATGTTTATATGGTGGCTTAAATGTTTAATTTTAAATTCTGACACACTGATTTTACATATAGCTTAGTTTCATGCCATCTCTATGTATCATTAGTAACTGATCAGTTCCATTTAGGTAGAGATTTTATTTCAGAGTAAAAGTAACACTGTTGTAATCGTACTTTTCTTTCTCAGGGGTGACGGTCTGGGAGCTGATGACGTTTGGTGCTAAACCCTACGACATGATCCCAGCGAGAGAAATCCCAGATGTTTTAGAAGGAGGAGAACGGCTTCCTCAGCCTCTCATCTGCACCATCGACGTCTACATGATCATGGTCAAATGTCAGTAGTTGCAGTGTTGAGCTTTGTTTAATCTGATTTTAATAAACCAATAGGATGATTAATAGGGAAACTATACATGGATATGGCCTTTATTTATGACGCCTATTACGTTTTACATAGTTGCCATTATTACTTGTACCTAACAGAGGTGCATGTTTGTGGTTAGTGTTGAATATGACTGATTGACGTCTTAATGTTGTGTTTGGACGATAGGTTGGATGATTGACCCAGAGAGCAGGCCGAGGTTCAAAGATCTAGTGAATGATTTTAGTGCCATGGCCAGAGATCCACCTCGCTATGTAGTCATTCAGGTACAGTACGTGTGTTTCATGTTGCAAATGTTTTACTTTTGTGGGACTGTGCTTACGGTACGTTATCATGTAATGCTTGTATCACAAACTTTGTAGCACAATTAGTATAAAACTTTCAACAGTGCTGCTTTTTTGGCCTGGATTTCCTTGAAAACTTAAAATTAATGCACAAATAAATTATGATAAATAAAGGCTTACTTTCACATTTGTTCTGTGTTTTCCTTTTGTGTTGTTTTTTGAAGAACGACGAGCAAATGAGCATGTCCAGCCCAGTGGACAGCCAGTTCTTCCGGATGCTTCTGGAGGAGGAAGGGAACAATATGAGGGAACTGCTGGATGCTGAGGAGTATCTGGTACCTCAGCCTAACCACTTCCCCAGGACTCACGGAGACGGCACTCAAGCCAACGGACCATCCAGACACCAGTCATACAGGGTCAGTGGTGAAGTTTAGGTTTGGATTGCTTTGTGTTCTCATTCTGGGCTTTTTACTGTACAGATTTATACAAACAAACCATAGCTGGTGAGTCAGAGCTTAGCTAGTCAGATCCAAGCAATAAATACACATGTTGTTGTTTAATCATTCTTTATGTGCAAGTATGTCTTCAGCCATCCTAGCAGCATCGCTCTAGAGATCACAATGAAGGTCGGAGTGAAATGTCTTTGGTACAGTATATAAACGGTTCCCAGAGGGAACTGACTTTGGTGATCCATTGACTTTTCCTCTAGCACCACCATGAGCTAAGCTGAGTTTTGAATAAATGTCTCAACAACTACTTTAGTTACCTGTTAACTTTTCAGCACCATTATGAGGTCAAAACTTCACTTTATCAAGTGCTTTGGTTTATGACAAAATACCTGCAAAACTAATAACATTCCCATCAGCCTCAGCTGTACTTGGTAGCCTGTTAGCATGGCTGTGTAGACTATTGTTTTCTATGTGTTTGTTTTTGTGATTAATTATGTTTTGTTTGTAAAAGGGGAAGCACCATTGCACTCAATGAAGTGATAAGGCCCTTGTTATCCTCCCATCAACCCACGCCACCCCCACCCTCTAACCCCCTAACAAGATGAACCAAGGCAGTGTACATAGATAAAACACAAAAAGATGGAAACAAATATTAGCAGAGCTACCAGTACAACCTGTCCATTGCTCCCTACCCATCCCCCCAGAATCCCATGACATACATACTCTTGTTTTGTTTAAAGCATTACAGGTGTTTTTTTTGCTTTGTTGTATGACTTAATTCTAGTTGGCCAGTCGGCTAACCCTAAAGAGATAAGTAATAGCATCATGTTTTGTTGAGAGACACGGCTGTAGAGGAGGTTTTGAAATGGATTTCAAACCAGCTGTAATTTTTTGCTGTCAATGCTAGATAAAATCTGATTTCAATTGAAGTATAATATGAGCTGAGCTGTTTGGACATGTAGCAGCTGTGGACACTTGAGAACCTTTGAACCTTGTCTATTTGTACACATCATTTATCTCACCTCTCTCTCCAGCAGAGCAGAGATCAGGGCTTAGATGTTGAGCCCTCTGTCGTCGGCGGCCCTCGTAGCATGTACTCCTCCCAGAGCACTCTTGGCCGCAGCCAGTACCCTACCTTACCTTTAGGAGCCAGCACCTCCAACGGCCTGTGGAGTCCCCAGTACCCAATGCTGGCTCGCAGCCCCTCGGCCGGGGGCCAGTCTGACTCAGTCTTCCTCGACGGGCCTCCAGACGACCCCTCACTGCCCCCGGCCAGCCCCGGACGCTACTCCAAAGACCCCACCTACTCCAACGGGAGTCAGGGTGATCTGGAGACAGACGGGCCAAATGGCTTTCATCATCCTCATCACCTTCATCACTCACTGCCCAGACGGATTCATGGTTATAATCACAATCATGCTTTGCCAGGTGAGCAGGAGATTGCTTCCGCTGTAGGCTCTCTAAAAGGAAGTGTTTGATCCTTAAATCTTGTTTTGTTCTGACTTTTCTTTCTTCGCTCATTTGTTCAGAATACGTCAACCAGGAGATTCAGGATCTCAGGCCAGGGATCACAGAGCGGCCCAGCACGCTTCCTCGTAAAGGCTCCAGAGTGGACCGACGGCTCCCTAATGGCCTGAGCTCTGGGCAAAGCGTGGAAAACCCGGGATACTTGGTCCCCACGAGCGTCGTGATCCCCACTTCTCCAGCGTTTGACAACCCTTACTACTTGGACCTTGTGGCCAAAGCCAAAGCTGTAGCTGGGGCTTCAGCGGCTGACGGCTCCGAGGCACTGGAGAGAGACGGAGAAGTGCCCAGGCATGTGAACGGGTTTGTGACCCCCACGGCAGAGAATCCAGAGTATCTGGGACTAGCAGACACCTGGAGTGGATATACTTGAGGAGAGGGACTGGGAGTAATGTGATGAACTCCAGGAGTCACAGATTGGGTTCTACTGAGTGAGAGAAAGAGAAGATGAATATTTGTGTGACGGAAATGAGCTGGGTGTGTGATTGATATTGGGTATGTGCATGTGGAAGCGAATCTTCTCTCGATATTGAGTGAAGCACCTGAATCCAAACCGGTCGAGGTTGTCCAGGAAAATCACCAAATCACCCAGCTGTGACACACAGTGACTCAAAACATTGTAGCATTAATTTGGTGGCAACATTTGCGCAATCTGCGCTCTCTACCTGACTGTTAAGTGCCAAAAAAAAAAAGTTCACGTAGTCTCTGTATATAACTCAGTACTTGATAAGCAAAGGAGTTCACTTTGTCAAAACCCATCATGGTACGAGAAGGGTCAGATTATCACAGAATCCAACATTTGACTGTATTAATGAATGCTGATTTTTTTTTAAATGTTCCTCTTCTTTTAACTTTTAATGTCTCTGGTTATTTCTTCTACATGTGAAGCATTTTCTTTTTTGTATTCCCTTCAGTTCCCTTGTGCGTCTTGATGTGCTACTCAGCCCAGCTAAAGAGAGAAAAAAACATATAGAACACTTTGACAAAGTGAGCCATAATGTGCATTGAAGGTGATGTTTAGTATTCTGGTCACTTTGTCTCTGACCTGATGGGGGTCTTCAACACACTCAAAGCCATTTTGTTTTGGCCAGAGAAGGCCCTGCAGCCCATCTGGCCAGTAGACATGCTCCCTGAAAGAAAGGCATCCTGTATTGAGAAGACAGAGGCATTGTGCCACACTGATGTATGTGGTTGTTAGTGTCTGTGGCTGCAGCTACTTTGTGGTACGGCAGTTGAGATACGAGGTACTAGCAGACTCTTTTAGCTACAAAAATCTCAAAAAATATGTTTTTGTTCTCAAGAGAAAGTGTACTTGAAACTATGTTAGAGCCAACTATTCAGGGATTTACGATTTTGCAAAGAATTAGGGGAGATTACGCGCATTTTAAATTATGCACAATGCACTACATGTTAGGATATTGCATATGCCCCCCAGGCTTGTGTTATCACAATGAGCCTTTTGGTTTTGGTGGCCTTTCACTATGCAAGAAGGCACTATTAGCTTTTGGTGAGTATATTTCCCAAGAAGTGAAGAATTTGCATGTATATGTACATGTGTGTTTGCTATCCCTGTATGGAACAAAAAGTAGTACTACTGTTTGTGTTTATGTGTAAAAGTGAGGAATGCACTGGACACTGGAGCTGAATGTGAATCTGAGGAGGCGAAAACATTGCGCTGCTCGGTTTGGATAATCAATGCATGGCTCAAATTCCACTCAGCGAGAACACACTGGCATCCCAGTTAATAATGAACGGCATTTTTTGAAGTGTCTTTTTTTTCCCTTCATGTTAACTTGTGTTGGGCTGGGGGAGGTCAAAAGCAAGTCAATGGAGCCATTGTCTGACCCTCATGTCCTTGTTGGAAAGTCAGTGCTCTCCCAACTCGCACGTCCCAACGACTGATGGTGTCAGAGCTTTGAAAAGAGAGAAACAGAGTTTTCCTCTGCAGAGGTTTGAAACTCAGCAGCAGAATGTGGTTCAGTGTTTGGGGCTCGAAAATCCTGTACAAGTCTTGAAACAATTGACTGGGTTGTTGAAATGTGCACAACCCTCCACAACCCGCTACCCCCCGCATCAACATGTCAACTTTACTCTGAAAGTCTTTGGGAAATGTTCTGTTATCTTGATGTTCTCATACGGGTTTTGAAGAGTTTTGTTCTGGAAAAGGATCTCTAAAAAAATTATACCTACAACAATTTCTTATATAAAAATAAATGTTTTATGCATGTTTTTATAAAAAAAACATGTTAAGATTTTATTTTAATACCCAAACTATCACATATTGACACTGTTTAAGATGGAATTATTGATTAATAAGATTCAAATAAGTTTATTTCATGTTTATATATAATGGATATACAGTAGCCTTTAATGTTTTGGAATGAAACCCTTCATATATATTGTTGCTGTCAGGTGAAGACCTCATATCTCCACACAGTTAATCTTTTTAGGAGAAAAGCAGACTTTATATTGACAAAAATATATTTTTGCATTCATGTTGTGATATTTACAACCCATAGAGAAAATTTTTTATATTACCCAATATTGCCATTGAATCCTTAAAATTTCCAAAAATAAAGTGTAAAGTGTGAGAAGATTTGGGGATTTTGGAGCGCTGAAAAAAACAGTAAGTACCTAAAAAGGTCTCCGCTGGAGATACAAGGTTTTCACTGGATCATAACAATATTATAGCACAGCTTACAGATGTTCAGCCTTCCTTCAAAGTATCTCTTCTGAATATTGTGAGACCACATCCTTTTTTGTATAATCAGAATGAATGTACTGGCGTTTACACTATAGTGTCATCTTGTATAAAATGTCTCATTTAGCACACACACATTACCCAGGAATCTCACTGATCGGGGGTGTCTCTACCTGCTGTCCTCCTTAAACCCAGGTGTGTTCTTTCTCTAGTTGGTCCTGTACTTGGACACAGTTATTTTTATATTAAAACCAGTACAGAGCCTGAGGACTGGCACCAGTCACGGTCTGGTGGCTTTTTGATTTACAGTAACATATTAAATCTTCTGCCATTCTCTCTGTTGAAGTGTTCTTGGGGAAAAAACGCCTAAGAGTAAACTAAAGGATAGGGTGGCTGTTTTTTTAATAAGATTGTTTTCATCCAGGAGTAACCGCAAGAGGAAGGAAGGAACAGTTAACTAATGGGAGTGTGCTGAAGGTTTTATAAAAATTAAATATCTGTAATTTACATTTTGAAGAAAATATATCTTTTGTACTTTCCTTGTGAATATTGTTTTTCGTTTGTTTGTGTGATTGTGACAGAATATGAGTAATAACCATTTTATTGGGAGTTTTTAATGCATCCTTTTCTATTTGGTCAGTAAGTCCCGTAATGTAAATGTGTATATAAATGAAAACAATCTCTTTGGTAGCTAATTTGATTGAATAAATTGTGACCAGTTGCTCTGCTGTGGAGGGAGGGTGGAGTAAATACATAAGAAAATATTTTATGAAGAAATGGTCATTTTTATATGGAATTGTTTGCATACATTATGTGTGTCATTAAAATCATAAAACACTCAAGCATTCTGTTTTCTGATCATTTACAGAGTATTCAGTTCTCTTTCCTCTCATTCTTTTTAACACTCGACCTCTTTTATGTAAACCGGATTAAATCCTGAGATCTTTTCTGAAACATACGGTGGCCCTGAGGTGCAAAACACATAATAAACATAAACACATAGCAAAAAAGAAAATATAACATCAAACACAGGATATTTCACAAAATCTAAAAATATGAGACAACTGTTTTCTGAAATATTCTGTTTTCTGCTTTGTTGCTACTCAAGGCCCCTTTAGATACATGTTTCCACCATTATATGAAAACAGGATGAGTTCTGCTGTAATGATTGATTAAATTGTCAAAATGCTCCTGTCTTTACCTAGACACCCTCAGAAAATATTAATTGAATATATTGAATCTGCTCTGTCTAAAATCCTAATTGGTGTTGTGCTCTTAATGAGCCTCAGAAATGTGAAAAGTCAGACATAATCCACATCAGGTTACTGTGCACAACAAACTGTTCCTGCCACCCAGTGATGGTAACTGGAACTACAACTTAGTGTCAATGAAAAGGAGCAAGAGTATAAGAGACCCATGTATAGTTCTGGTCTTGTTCTATTTTAGTAGCTGCTCAGTAATCGTGCATCATTTAACCACCTCTTCCTTTGGCTTTCTACTGATTGATCTACTGATTCAATATAAACACTGTGAATGTACTTTACATGCTTCAATAGAAAATGTAATCCTCAAAATCAAACACTGAGCCCACTGGGCTACTTGAATTACATATAGACTCTCAGCAAGTTTTATCAGCTTAACATGGTTTTAGTTCCCCCCCCTTTTTTTGGGGTTTATTAGTGACATACACGATACATTGATGACATTTTGTGACATCAAGGTCAATAGACAAACATACAATAAGACAAAAAACATATAACAGTTTAACAGTATAGTGAAAAAAGTGATATACAAATTAATGATATTATAATAATCATTACTATACAGTAAAATATGAATATTCTAACTTTTTATAGTATTTTAAACTCAAAACAGGGCGATTAGGAGGCCAGGTCGAGCCACAGGGGAGGCGAGGAATTGGCCCCTCCCCACCCAGCTCCCCAGAGTTGGGTGTGTTTTCAGTCTCTTATTCCACACTGTCTGACAGTATCATATAGGTCCAGCTCTTCACTGAAGCTGCATATGTTGTCATATTATTTGCTGTCATGTATAGTTGCTGGTGTAATTTTTGACAGTCTTTATGCTCTTTGTGCAAACATTTTTTATTCATTAATTCATTCATTATGTTTATACTGTGAAATTATAAATTGTAAAACGTTTTTCATTCAGATCCACAAAACCTGGTACACATTGTAAGAGGAGAAACAGCAAAATCATATTAGATTTTTAAGATATTCCTGTAAAAAAAAATTAGAATACTGCAGTCGAGGTTTATCTTTTGAATTTTGGATTGTTGAACTTTAACTGTTGATCCAAATTCATATGATGTGCAGATTAAATCACACTGACCAGCACTTATAACAACTTGTTAACTAATGGAATCTACCATACCTGAAGTCAGGGTGATTCTTTGTTTATAAAAAACATTGAAAAATGATCCACAATGTCACTTGTATATTCAAATCAAAATTTCCATATCATAAACAAATTGACACCCCCCCAGGACAAAGTCTGAAAAGACCCATGAAACTGGAAATTAGCAAACCACTTTGGATTTGGATTTGCTTCAGTGTATCAGGTATAGGCGATCACTGATCATTCTTGGACCGATCAAGGTGTCACTGCTGGTAAGAAATGTATCTCCAAGTTCACCCTCGTTCTCCGAATCTAACCTTCAACTTTAGTGAGCCTTCAGAGGAGATGTTTGGACACTGTGGTGACATGATAGCAGGTATTATAGTCTGGGCTTCCCTCAGCGCTCTCCTCTCCCTGGTTGGATGTCCTGCTTGTGTTGCTGTTCTGTGGGAGCTGTTTCGGAGACAGAAAGCGGGAACCCCCTTCACCCCCAACGACGTCTTCATGCTCAACCTCACTGTCATGGACTCAGTCTTCTTGTTTTTTGTCCCATTTGGGCTGTGTAACTTCCTCCTGTGGCACATCAGGTCAGTTCAATTGTTAAGTAATTTTCTGTATGCCTTGAACCTGGCTGGAAGACCTCTTCTTACAGCGTGTATCTGTCTGGACTGCTACCTGGCTGTGGTCCATCCCGTCAGCTACCGCTCGAGGAGGAGTCTCACTCCCCGGATCCTCATGGCTGCTGCCGTCTGGACCATCACAATCACTCAGGGCACTATGTCCATAATCAACGATGAGCTGAACCACAGCCCCTGGGCCATGTTTGTGTACGTCATTGCGCTGCCCATCATTGTCGTCTGTGATGTCTCCATCCTGTGGACTCTGAAGAAGTCCCACCGTGCGGACGGAGACCTCCACCCCAGGAAGAAGAAGGCTCTCCAGATCATCACCAACAGCATGGTCATGACCGTCACCTCGTACGTCCCTCCAGTGCTGACATACATCATTGGGGATCTGATTATTAGTGATGAAAAAGTGTATGAATGCTTTTTAACAATACCTATCCTGACAACCCCGACTGCGGGGAGTGCAATCATGCCTCTGCTCTATTTGGGTAATCTGGGGAGATTGAACCTCTGTTGTTTGGCATAACAGTTCATTATAGTAGGATTGGGTTGTAAATGCATTAATTTGAAATTATTTCTTTTGTGAAGTCTTCACAGGAAAAAAACACACATTTACTGAAATTTTGAGTTAAATATAGGCAATTATATGAACCCATTTGTGTCTGCAACTGAAATATCTGCTTGCCTAAGAACAAATCTGAAGAAATTTGGGGGATTTTCATTATTTTCAGCACACACACGCAATGGGCTGCTAGCTGTATCGTCTTGCATCGTAAATTGCACACACAAATTTAAGAAATTGGCTGTATCTCAGAAATTACAAAGAGCTCCCTCAAGTATTTGATATCTTTAAAACCATAACAAGTTGAATATGTACACATTTGAAGCGTAAAAAAAAAAAAGTTAATATGGAAAACATTTACCAACCATTTTTCAAATGACCAAAAAATAAATGTAACGGTTATACTGTTAGATACTTGCCCAAAGTATGTCTGCACTAAATTTCAAGACTTTAGATCAATTAGAACAAATGGTGATTTCAAATGTTGTTTAAATGTTAAGGCATTTGTCCTAAATATAGTCTTTGGGTTAACAATTTTCAGCCCCCTTTTTTTTGACAATTTAAACAGTTTCCATTACGTAACATTGTTATAAACAGCCACCTCTATCATTTGTACTGTGGCACACGTTGATCAATTGCATGCTATATTGTCACCCAACCTATCAAATGTAATGATAGAAGGGGAAACAAAACAAAGAAAGAAGAAGGGTTAGAAAATAAGAGAAAAGAAAAAATTCCTTCCCACTGGCTGTATTTCTTTAGTATCCACTGTTACCAAACAGATCTTAATTCAAGGAGCCTCTGATTTTAACCATTTAGGATTTATTGCATGCAGACAGTAGAATTGCCACAAGGGTTCTGTCTCCTATATATTATAATTCAGTGGTTCACAAATTTTTTTCATTACTGTACCTCCCTTGAAATATTTTTTTTAGTCAAGCACCCCCTAACCAGATCTAAAAGGTTTTGTTAAAAAAAAAAAAGAATCCTAGAAGCACAATACAGCTTTGCACCATCAGTGTCAAATGTTCAGAATCCATCTCTAAATGCAATAACACTAAGACGGCGCTGAACTGTTTTTACACATTTGCACTTTCAATTCAGTGAGAATGAGCTCAAGGATCTTTGTCATTCTCTGTGGCACATTTGCACTGAAAATAGGAATACTGAATTTTAAAATGTGGTTTATTGAACTTATATTTACATGTTTAACGCCAACTACCCACTACTCAAAATTTTCCCTAGGGGTACACAAACCCCTATTTGAGAAACACTACTATAATTAATTGCACCTATTATACAGGTAATATTTGCTGATTATGTAAATAATTTGATGTGAACATAGTTCTTAGTTCTTCAATTGCTTCATTGAATGGGTAGTGATCTGAGTGAGTATGAGCGGCAGATTTCAGGATGTGGGTCTCATAATATATCAGTCACATATTAATGATAAAGATCATTAATCACCTCCACTACAGACATATCACAAATACACAAAGATATATATCTCAAATACTAATAAATAAACTAACTAACTACTAAATACTGCATGTATCTTCTTCGCTTGATGTTTTTATTGTTGTTGACACTGTGCTTGATTATAGTATACTATATTTGCATACTAATCTATATATAAATGCAAATCTGTGTCTAAATATTAATTACAACGTTTTATATTGATATATATATTCTATATGAATGCCACCTTGATCTGGATGATCAGAAAACTCCACTATTGTTTGTGCACATTTATGTACACTGGTTAGAGTAACATACTGTATTTAACCTTCTGACTATATATGTGTGTTCCTATATACTTCTTTTGTCTTTGTGTGATGTTGTAATGCTACATTTGAACCAATTTTGGTTGTGTGGGTTAATGTGATTGTTTTTGTTGTCTTTGTGTGTGTGTTTATTGTGTTGTTTGTTTTTAGCTATGTTTTTGTGAATTAAATGTATAAAAAGTTTGATCCAATTTTATTAATTATACAAGTATCCTGAAAGGTAATAGAACAGTGTAATAAATCAGCGCAGACTTATGATCACAACAAATTAAATAAATTGTACAGGTGAGATTAAAACATTGAAACCATTAAAGGATGTCTGTATGTAAATTCATTGTAATATTTTTCCATCTCACAAAATACCTTTTTCAACATAAATCTTCAATGCCGCAGTATGTAAATGATGTTTGTTTATACCTGCACACCTGCATGACTACAACTAAGTTGTAGTCATGACAAATGATCTGCCTGTCTTCATCATTTACATTTGTAATATGATCATGAGGAACCCCATGTAAATCTCATGAAAAACAAAAATCCAGTATGACTTCTCATGGTTATTGGACTTTTCATAGTTTTGTCAGATTATTTAAGTGATATAAGAAATAAGAGTTCATTTTGTTCATCTTTATTCAAAAGAACATTTTCTTGATGACTTTTACATTTCTTGCTAATTATTCAAATAAAAGTTTTAGTTTTTTTTCCTCAGAAAATCCCCCCAGATATCCTGTCTCTCATGCAGAAGCATCCTGAACCACCGTTGGGTCAGAAGTGTTCAACTGTTCTCCACTATGTAGGAATTGTGGTTTACCATCAGTGATCATGAGCAATGGGTTCAACAGCTTTATTGTAAGTTTTACTTTGTAAGACATTCAACTATTCATTTATAATTACATTATTAACATTAATTTAAGTCTACTTAAAAATACAGATTTTAGTACATAAGAGAACTATGGTTGTCATAGTTTGGTTTCCAAAGTTACTTAATTCATTATTTTTATCATTATCATTATTTTATTAGGGACAAAACATTAATGCAAACAGACATATACCATAGAGGAGTAAATGAGCACTAACATACAAGAACAGAACATTAAAGGACCAGCGTGTAGGATTTCGCTTCACCCTCCCCTTCCAAGTGCGAAACTACGGTGGCCGCGAAAAACGCAAATGTTTGGTTTGTCCCTCCTGGGCTACCGTTACATGTCGGTTTAAAATGGCCGACTCCCTGGAAGGCGACACACATTGTCTGTAGATATAAAAGGCTCATTCTAAGGTAACAAAAACACAACAATTCTTATTTTAAGGTGATTATACACTAATGAAAACATGCCTATGGATATTATATTCCATTTATGCCAATAGATCCTCCTTAATGTCACACACTGGACCTTTAAATAAATTAAAACAAAGAAAGAATAAAAACATGTCAAAATGACAATTTCCAATTTTCCATTTTAATTCACATTTTATTCACGTACCTGAAACTCGACTTGTGAAAGTTTTTTTTAAAGCTTCTACAGCACCTGATTTTGTAAGAGGAAAGACTTAAGACTTCCTGCAGCATCCAAACTTGAAACGACCCAATTTCCCCCGATTATTTAGATCGAGAATAGGCAGGACAGCAGATCCCGAACTGGAAGTAAGGGTAATCGGGATAGCAATAATACATACTAAGGTACTGTGACTGCTGATCAGGTATTTTGCACTAGTTAGCAGAACTACTGGAGGAAGGTAAGAGAAGACTGTCATCACCAAGCTGTTGATGAGGGTCTGAATGGCTCTTTGCTTCTGCAGGTGGATGTTTTTTTTGCCACGGTCAGACTTAATTAGTGTATGGAGGATGAAAGAATCACAGATTCCAATTGTTACAATAGCTATTATAAATGGCCCAGTGACAAACATGGAGAAGTGTAACTTGTAAAAAAGAAAGTATGCAATCCCAGAGGCAACAGTTAAAGTCCAAACAATGCCAGCCATCACCACCCTGGGAGTCAGACTCTTCCTCTTGTGGTAGGTGATGGGATGAACCACGGCCACGAAACAGTCCAGACACATACAAGTCATCAGAAGGGGTCTCCCGCACATGTTCAAGGCGTAAAAACCGTTCCAAGTTGCCTCAATTGGCCAAATCTTCCAGATCAAATGATTTAACAATCCAGGTGGGATGAAAGCCAAGAAGACAACATCCATGACGGTGCAGTTCAGTACGAAAAAACTGTATGGTGTGAAGGGAGTTCCTCTCCTGTGTGTCTTAAACATCTCCCAGAGGATGGCAACAGATGCAGGGAAACCAAGAGCAAAGCACAGCGCTATACAAAAAGCCCATATATATACGCCCCGTTTTTGGTCGGTACACTGGTCAAAATCAAATTGATCCCAGACAAATCCAGATGTGGCAGAGTTGTTGGACAAAGACTTAGATTGAAGATCTATCAACATCTTTGAGCAGAGTAGTTTGTGGGATAAAATACCTGAGGGATGCAGAAAAACTACTTCAGAGCATTAAAAATAAATTCACAAGAACACATACTCAACATGATAAGAGAACAACTTTGAATTATAAAAAATACTAACTTTATAGAACAGACAACAAAAGTTTTTGAAGAAATTAAACTCAAAATACTGTCAAATTTTTCTACACTACACAGAAAAAGTGACTTTGTTGAGATTATCCATTTCAAATTTACAGCACATTGGTTTATGCGTTGGTTAATAAAAATGCAGACCCATACTGTACCTGTTTGTGAGGTTTCTTGGTACTGTGTGTGTTACTGAGGTTGCCACTGTGTCTTGTTGCCTTGATGAATGTGAAACACCTGTCGGAGGAGTTACACACGTTTGCATGCAGACATCATTAAAATCGGCAGTGGCAAAGGTCGTTTTACAAATTGCATATCTATGGAAAAGAGCAGACCCACAGTGTTTGAGTGAGTGAGTGATTACTCTGCATCTCTTCTAACTTGACAGCAGGTCGATGGTGTAGCTCAGTTGTCCTTAAGGGACTCGTTTTCTATAATTTAGTAAACTGATGACCCCTAACTGACATATTTTATGGATATTTTCATATTACATTCCTTATAAAAGCTCTTTATATGCTAAATGATATGTATAATTTCTTATATGAACATTGTTAAGATTATCAACCTGTACTGTATATGCACACTCACACACTAATTACCTTACCTTGCTTTTTTAAAAAGATGATCTTATCTTAACCCAAATATTTAATGCAATAATTTAGGGAGTTTTGTGTAAATTTGCATACATTTTGAGCAGATTATTTCCTGTGAATGTTGTTTAGAGATAAGTTTTTCCGATATTTTTTAGGAATATTTTATACAATTGTTCGTCTGTATTAGATGTATTTTTATAATTTTTGACAATCATGAATACTAAATACTTTATTATTTTGACAAATTTTGTGTTTTCTTCTAACTGGTCTATTTGGTTGTTCTAACTGTAGTTTTCTAATGCAGGGCAAGACTGTTTAGCAGAGAGTGAAGGTTTTTCATTAAAAGCCAATATATATATATATACACACACACGTTAGCAAGCAGACAGAAACAAAGTGTGTGGCAACTTAAACATCCATTACAAGCAAATTAGTTGGCAGAACTCAATTTTGTTAATAGCTAATAGTAATAATAAAAATGAGCAACCACAGCCATCAGAGGAGGTCTGGAATGAGGCCAAGCATTACAGTAAAAAGATCAAAATCACAGGAACCAAATGTGGGGAGGGTCCCAGTTTGTGCAGGCCAGGGGAGAACGGGATAAAATGGCCAAGAACAATCTGATTAATTCTTCTGGATTCAAAATAGATGTTGATGGTTTCATCTAAGTAAATACTTAACATTTATGTATGCAGAAGAAGGCAGCTCTTTCTTTGCTGAGATTAATAAACAGCTTAGTTTCAGGTGTGGAGCACATCCTCTGTAATGCTGCCTTCATGGGCTTCTCGTAAACCCCCCTCTTCTGAAATTGAACGTAAACCTAGAACTCGTTGGACATTGAAATTGTGGGCAGAAAAATCACAAAGAATAATGATTGATGGGAAAAAATCAAGGAATTAAAGTGGGAAGTAGTAAAAGACAGTGAATAAGATCTGATCGATACCTTAACTACTACCATTTAAATGTTGGATTAGCCTATTTGAGAGTAAAGACAGCCGAACAGTAGGCATCCATGTAATGTTCAGGATATAACATTACTCATATAATTGACTATCTTTCCCAAAAAAGGAGGATCAAGCCCCCCCTTCTTTTTCCCCAAAAAAAACTACGTTGCCGTGCTTTGTGGAGAAAATTACGATATTTGTGGCACCTCGTGAAGGCAGCAACAGCAGCCTCCATGACGCTTCGTCTTCATACTATTTTTGTCCTTCGGTCGCCGCCATTGCTGCCAAATTACAAACATATATCCGCCGCTGTTTTGCAGTAAATTTGACACAGTTCACTTTCCTTTAAATAGTGAGTGGCTTTTACCACCGGGGACGCGTACATGGACTCATTTTGCTCATTTCTGTCGAAATCACACAACGCTAACAGAGACAATAACTTATAAAAAGCTAACGGTAGCTAACCTATTGTAAGGGAGCTAGGCGGTCGCTGCGACGCGTTCAGTGTCGGTTTTTATTTTTCTTCCTCCCCTATCGGTAAGAAGCTTTTAGATATTTTTTTAAAGATGTCGCTACACGGTAAACGTAAAGAAATCTACAAATACGAGGCACCGTGGACAGTGTACGCCGTGAACTGGAGTGTGCGCCCGGATAAACGTTTCCGCCTGGCGCTCGGTAGCTTCGTGGAGGAATACAATAACAAGGTAGGCTAACTTCAAGGAACACATCCAGCTTTTTAATGTCCGGTGATGGTGTTATTGTTGTGCACAGATCTTATATTTATTGATCTGACTGATTGGAGGAGATTTACTTTTAACAGGGATAAATATATTATTAAATAGGAGTTGGAGTGTTTGCCCCTTCTGCTCCAGGCCCACGGTTCACAGTATGTTAACCAACTAGCATTAAAAATGCCTGAATATGTATTATGATTATATTAAAATGATGCCTGATATAAACTGTGTACTGGTGTGATATGCCGGGTTTAATGTGGATAATAATCTGTTTAAAATGTGGCTATTTAATGTGTGATATTATAAAACTGTGTGATGGTTGTAGGTAGAAACATGCATGTAAATATAATTTGCATCTCAATGCGGTGCCAAAAATACGTTTTATGGGGGAAATTAAGTTTGAAAACAGTTGGTTATAAATAATTGGATAACTTAATTATAGATAAATATTTATTTGAGTTTTTATTTTATCTGTTTTTATTTTATCTGTTTTCCTAATTTGTCATTTTATTTTGTTTTATTGTACATTACCAGGATTTTATTTGCTGTTTTATTTTACATCATCATTATAGGTTACACTGGTACAGCCGAGGATTATTTCAGTCAATTAATCTTAATTTAAAATAATAATCGTTTGACCTTCTTAAGTTAGGCCTATGGTTTAAAATTTACTGTAACGTTGACGTAAAGTATTCAAATTACAATTAATGTATATTTAAGAACTAACTTTTAACCTAGAATTGATAACTTTTCTGTTGATACAACTTCGATTAGCATAGCTGTAAATGGTAACTAAATTGAATAATAGATTTGGTTGCTATCAGCACACAAAGATTTGAATAATATGACTGAATGTACTGTTCCCTGTTCAGATAAGTAACACTACCACATGGCTCACTCGAGGTGAGTTGTTATTGTTTATCAACAGGTTCAGATAGTTGGTCTAGAGGAAGAAACCTCCGAGTTTGTCTGTCGAAACACGTTCGACCATCCCTACCCGACCACCAAGATCGTGTGGATTCCAGACACCAAAGGAGTGTACCCTGACCTGCTGGCCACTGGCGGAGACTACCTGAGAATCTGGAGGGTAAGAGGAAACAATCCAGTCTGACCCAGACGAAAACATTGCAGAAAAACATAGAATATTGTTTTAAACTATGATGAATGTACAACATTTTTACCACTTATTAGGACTGAACCGAAGTCTCTTCTTTTTCATTAATTCTTATCCCATCTTTCTAAACTAAAAGATAGAAGATAAAAAAAATAGTTTTTCTTACATCTAAATAAAAACTGGCTTGTATGAACTCACTGAAGTTCACAAATATACATGAATATGTGTTTCTACTGACAGGTGAGTGATACCGAGACCCGTCTGGAGTGCCTGCTCAACAATAACAAGAACTCTGATTTCTGTGCACCGCTCACATCCTTTGACTGGAACGAGGTGGACCCAAACCTGTTAGGTAAAAACTCAGCATGAGGTTACCTCAGGGTAACGTTGTCGACTTGAATAATACATAGAACATTTGAATTAGTTTCACTGACCTAAAGTTGTTATTAGAAAAATGGAGATGACATTGTTTTGCATATGTATTTTTTCTGTGCAGGGACGTCCAGTATCGACACCACCTGTACAATCTGGGGGCTGGAGACCGGACAGGTGCTGGGCAGGGTCAACCTAGTGTCAGGTCATGTCAAGACACAGCTCATTGCCCATGACAAAGAGGTAAATGTTACGAAATGATGGATTAAACCTCTGTGTCTAATAAAATGGTACTTAGTTTTGGAGTAACTCTCCAGTCTGGAGTCCTAGCTGATCAGAGCTGACTGTCTGCTTGCGTTGCAGGTGTATGACATCTCTTTCAGCCGAGCAGGCGGTGGCAGGGATATGTTTGCGTCAGTGGGAGCGGACGGCTCAGTCCGCATGTTTGACCTCCGTCACCTCGAACACAGCACTATCATCTACGAAGACCCCCAGCACCACCCACTGCTCCGGCTCTGCTGGAACAAGCAGGACCCCAACTACCTGGCCACCATGGCAATGGACAGCATGGAGGTTAGTACTCCCACCCTAACCCCTAACCCTAATGATATAAAACTGAAACTTCTCTTTGACTCAATGTAAAGTGATGGGAAACACAATTGCTTGCAACTTGTTTTATTTATTTATGTTTACATGAATCACACACACTATGCTTGTAAGCAATCAGTCTACATGTGCTGCCAGTTAACGTCTGTAACGTTGGTATCCTCAGGTGGTGATCTTAGATGTGCGTGTACCCTGTACTCCGGTGGCCAGACTAAACAACCACAGAGCCTGTGTCAATGGAATCGCCTGGGCGCCACACTCCTCCTGTCACATCTGTACATCAGGTATGCAGATTTTTACTGAAATCATAGTTCGTAATATTCACACAGGAGTCTGTTTACAAGTTCAGAACCGCTGCAGTAACTGACAATGAGCACAAGAGGGGACCATTTTTATGTTACACTTGAGATGTCTGACACACACACACACACACACACAGGGCTTTAAATACTGTTTGAAGAAGGTCATCTTTTTTTAAGTTCAGTGTTCACTACATCATGTTATAGTGGAGGTATGCTACCTTGCCTAAGATAAAGACCATCCCCACTAACAACAGAAGAAATTACTTATTATTATTATTTATGAAATTAACCTACAGGAAGAATCCTTAAACAAAAAGCCACACATTTAAGAACAGACGTTCAGGCCATCTTCTACTACCTGAATTGACATCTTGCGTCAAGATCTAAGTTGGCACGTAATAACGGATGAGCAGTCCTATCAAAGGCTGGCTTTAAGGTGATTAATCAGTGCTGAATGTGCAGTGTTGGAAAGAAAAGCAGAGCGTGGCAGAGCCTAGGGGGATTCCTGTAGTTAATATCATATACCAAGATAGTTTTGCAAAGTACAGTTACATGCACAATGCTGTGTACAAATTAAATTCAGTCAACGGTTTGCACATTGCATTGATACTGTAGTACAATACATTGATGTGTGGTTTCCACCAAAATTACAGATGTCAGATTATTTTCTTCCTGTTTAAATAAGATAAATCGATTCAATCAAACCTCCTCCCCTCCTCTCTGTCTAGCGGAGGACCACCAGGCTCTAATCTGGGACATCCAGCAGATGCCGCGAGCCATTGAGGACCCTATACTGGCCTACACTGCAGAGGGAGAGATCAATAATGTCCAGTGGGCCTCCACCCAGCCCGACTGGATCTCTATCTGCTACAACAACTGCCTGGAAATCCTCAGAGTCTGAGCAGCAGTCATGAAGAAATGAGGCAAATCAAAAACATTCTTAGTTGGATTTACAAGCTCATATGACTTTGTTGAAGATAATTCTTTGTTCAAGAAGGACGGCGCAGTATTCAGGTCATGCTCGTATTGGGTTCATGTTGATACAGGTGATGTGCGTAAAGTTTTTTTTTAACTGAGTGAGAACTAGCGTACGTCACTGCTTGACTTTGTAATACAATACCAAGACATCCTGTATCAGAAAAGTCAACGGACCACCAAAATAAAAGTGGTAACCAAGTATCAAGAAACCAAAAGACTGTTAAATACGTTGTCATGTACAGACTTGACATCAAGGTTCAGTAGTCTACAAGCTTTCAGCATGTCGTTTCATAGACAAATAGTAGTCTGTTACATGTTTTATTCATTATTTTGATGCAGCAAAAATGCAGTTTAGCCATATTTAAAAGTGGATTGAATGTTGTTTGTGTTCATGTACTCGATTTGTTTTTTTATGTATGTATATAATGTGATTTAACCAACTGAATATCATTTGTGATATGAAAAAAAAATCTGTTGTGATACATAAATAATATTTGCAACCTTTAACTAGTATTAACTGACCATAATACAGATTTCTTTTGTAATTTGTGCACCATTTTTTAAATTAATAGCAACATTATTTTATTTTATACAGAAATAAACAATCCCTCACCGAAGTTTTTTATATTTAGACAACAGTTTAAATTATTTCACAGTGATGTGACTCATCAACATATTGATAAGAAACTATAGTACAGATTAACAGTTAGACATGATAGGTTGAAAAGGTGTATTATTCCAGATACTGTATAATACTGAGAAAACACTGCCTGAAGTACATCATCCAAAATCTGTACAATATAGAGAATCTTACATTTTTGTCAAACAGCCTAGAAATTTGACATTGTATCATGAATGCTGTGAGTCTTGTTGTGATTTTGGGATTGGGATGGTATGTAAAATAAGAGACGTGGGAGTGGACAGTAGCTATTTGTTACCTGTTCCAGTGTGGGGTCATGATGTGTGATTATTTGCTGAACATAAATACAGAAAACCACTTGTCCAGAGATTCATTTTCTCAAAGTGGGGCCAGATAAGGTCCAAAGGTGTGGCAGCTATGTCGGCCAATAACTGACTAGAAGATGTGGTACAGAAATGCCAGAGATATGTTTGCGGTAATTTATAAAAACGTGTCACCATTACATAGTTTATGCACCAGAGAGCATTATTTCCACAGTATACATTTCTAGGTCACAATTCTTGAATAACTAAGTATAGTGTTTTTTGGGAAGATTTTGACATAGCAAACACGCTGCTTCTTTTTGGTAAAGAATTAGATGAGAAGACTGTTATGAAGCAACAGCCTGCAGTCAGCTGGGTTATATTAGCATAAAAAAAATTACTAACCTGTTAATACAGGGGGTTATGACTATTTGCTTACCAAGATATAAACCCCTCCTTCATTCATTACTCCCCCCTGTATAATAGATACTCATTTGTTTACTCAGTAGTGAGCAGTAAATTCACATTTCAGACATTTTGCCTCATCACTGAGGTGTCGAGTTGAACAATGTTAATTTTCACATCTATAAAATGTGGCACGTTGCATTGTGGGATTGTTTGCAAAAAGTAGTCATGCCATCGACACTTCATTTTTCACTCACTGCATGTTTTGGCCCATTGTGGAATTTCTGAGGGAATAGATATACATACTGAGAATTTGAATGCTCAAATAAAATATAGTGCACATTGTAAATAGGTAGTGATTTCATTCACAGCAATAGTCCCATGGAACCACAACATGTAATTTTTCCACTACAGTTTTTGTACGAATTAATTTAAACAAGATTACGTGTTAATTTGTGAGCATTAAAGATTCTGTTAGGTGCATTTTTTTAATCTTTAAACAGAGCCAGACTAGCTGTTTCCCCTTGTTTCCAGTCTTTGTGCTAAACTAAGGTTACCAGCTGCTGGTGAGAATGGTATCAATCTTATCTAACATCTATCAAATAAGCATATTTCTGAAAATGTGGATTTTCTTTTACTCTCAAATAATATCAGTAATGGCCTCACAAATCAAGTAATTGCCAGGCTTTACTCTGTAGGTAGAAGCTCTGTACTAGTGTGCCAGGAAAATAATTAAGGATTTAAACAGGATCAGGATTAAACATGACATGATAGGCTTGGCTCTCACAAAAGTTACTGATGTGGAATGGAACAAAAAGACGTGAAACAGGTACAAGGTGTAAAAAAAAAAGCAATTGTCCTTAATAAGTATGATAACTGTCCACATGTTACAATCGTCACTGAGTGAAGTCCTGTGTCAACACTGAATGAAATGGAAACCCTTGTGGCTCACAATCTGATTTTGAGACACTACTAGCTGTCCAAATGTGTAATGATACATGAATCTTGGACTCCTTCAGAAGTCTGTAAGTAGCCTTATATTACTACTTTCCAAGTCACACTGGTTGAGAGGAAAACTGCTTTACTGAAGGTATTCAGATGATAGGCAGCACAGGGTCTGAAAGGTGTTTCTGAATCTCAGCCAGTCCTGAGGTGATGTCGAGGTTCCCTGGCAGTGAGGGGTAGCGGAGGCTGCAGCACAGCCTTGGGTTCTCCATGAGGGAGGATTTGACTGATGGCTGGGGTAGCTGCGGACTCAGCCCTGTATGAGTCTCAGTTTCAGGGGTGTCGGTCATGAACATGGTGTCGTCTGATGCCACAGTCACATGGATACCGCTGGACAATGACTCCTGGGACTTCTTGGTGAATTTGAGGTCAGTCTTGCTGGAGCTCTAGAATAAAGAAAACATTTAATCTTATTAAGTAAAGGGCTAGAAATACATCTGTGTTAGTAGCCAGCACAGTGACTGACAATTTCACTTGACTATTTGGTATTATTTCTTACCTGTGTGGGTGCCCGGCTGTCCATCTGTATGGGAGAAATGGGGTACATGCTGTGCAGCGCTGGTGTTCCAGTCCCGTACAGGCCCGGTGAGTCAGTAGGGAGGGTAGTAGACGATACAGTGCTGTAGGCAGGAGGTACAGGAGTGATCTGCCTCTGGAGAAGCTGGAGAATAACGTTGATGTCGGCTGTCATGCGAGTCTCCAGTCTGGGGAATCAAGAGACAACAATGAAGAGAAGAGTTCTTCAATATCAAGTTGCTCCCTCCTCACTGAAAAGAACTAGATTGAGAATTTTGTGCACCTGCAGAATTTCATCACAATTTCTATCCAATAAACACTCTTTCTTTTGGGTTCAAGAACAGAAATGTAATTGGACAGAAAACGCTAAGGACCGCCTTATTGAAACGGACCGACTCCATCATGGCAAACAGCGTTATTGCTGTTGCATCTCTAGACTGTATCAGCATTATCAACAATTGTACCTTTCCATATTAAAACTCCTTAATTTTCTTAGGTTTTGAGAACATTTCTGACCAGTGACACTCAAATTTCTCTTTATACTGTATACTGTCACTTGTATCATTATTTAAATAAACCAGCTGAGGGCATCATTAAACTCACCTGTTGAGCTGTGAGTGTAAAACCTCAAGTCGAGACTCTAGCTCACTGGGCCGTTCTTCTGTGAATGGTGGTGGATGGTATGAGTTGCGGACGGAGGAAGATCGCCAGGCACGACTGGAAAACTGTTGTGACTGTCTTTCTGGCCAGTATTGATACATTCCCGGCACATTCAAAGATGAAGCTGAGGAAAATATAAAGAAAAGAAAGTGTTATTCATTTGATTAAAGTAATGGGAATGTCCAAAATGTTCAAAAACAGATACAAATTTAAATATATTAAAGGCACCCTTTGGAGTTTTGACCACCAGTGGCACTGTAGAGCAATTTGTTTTATGGTAAGAAATGGCCTGATTTTTTTACAATGAAAACTCCACAGACTACCTTGGAGACTACCAGACACCCTGTATTTCTTTCAATTAGGACTCATATCCATCTACCTTGTTGGCCGAGGTCCAACACTGCTTCCCTCCCCACTGAGGTGCCACTTGGGGGTAGCAGCTGCACTACAGACGGTGAGTAGTCCTGTCTGGCATCTTCTGGAGGGTAAAGCTCTACTTTGGCACCGTGGGAAAGAGGCTTAGCCAGGTCTTCACTTGACTGGGAACACGGGGATCCGCAGCTACAGTGGTCATCCCAGTGGGCCTGAGGAGATGAGTGACGATGACGCAAGGAGGTGGGGTACGAGTCTTCATGATCAATTCCATCTGTTCACAGGAAATCAGTCAATCATTAGTTTATATTGACCCCATCCAGGGTGTCAGGAAACCAGAACCTGTCCCTAGCATGCTTTCAATAGAAGCTAAACAGTTCATTAAAGGGTCTGTCTGATTACCAAGCAGACCCTTTCTTAACACATTACTATAACAACTTTGTTTGCAAACGATTGGCAGCCTGTTTGACTGTGATATCAGATATCTCACCTGGCCTGATTCGGCAGTCAAGAGAGTGGATTCTGTGTCTTGGCTTGTGGCGATAACCACAGTCGTCACCAGAGTCATCAGCTGTTATTATTGGTGGTACTTGATCAGCCTGAGAAAGGATCATATGTAAGTCCTAATGTAGTACAAGAGGATGTTATTTTTGGGGTAGGGAGGTGGTGGTTTATGCCTTAATTATACATCCAATAGTAGCAAGATGATGGGGAACTACATGCAACAAAGGATACCAAACCAGGGATTTTGTGGTTCATGGTTGGTGCCTGAACCACTAGACTACCAAGAGGGTTTTTAGCTATTATACAATACTGGCAGTAGTCCCATTCAAGGACAGGTCTGTATTGGTATTTAAGCAAACCATTGATTCTCCTTTGAACCTTCATGTCATGCAACTTGCAGAGAGGTTGTCCAACTATTCTTTTCTCCCTAAATGCTAATGCTAATGAGAAATTCTCGATAAGAAAAACATCTGAACTGAACTTCAATTGTCGGGATGTTAATTATTTTCTGCAGTCAACATCCAACATACATCTCTCAGGTCAAAAGTTATCTCCAGGTTCCCCCAGAAGTTGTCCGCAAAGCTGGGATAGACATCAAGGACTTCCAGCAGGTCGTCCCTCAGGATGCGGTGCAGGTCACAGTAGGTGATGGTGTGGACGTCTGAATTGGACTTCCCTGGCTCATCATACAGGTGGATAGGCTCCCCAAAGATGTCATTCTTTTCTGCAAGAGTATGAGTATGTTGTTAGATAAAAAATTTTTTTTTGAGACACCATAGTCAAATATCTATGATTTGATGGCTTTACCTAATATGGCAACCACCACATCATCCCTGATGACCTGAATAGAACCACGTGAGATGAAGAAGAGAGAGTCCAGGATGTCTCCGTAGTGGATCAGAATATCTCCTGGAGGAGCGTGGACTGTCTTGAACCTCATACCCAAGTGACGCAGGCAGGCTTGACTGCCTCCATTGAAAGCCTTGCAGTTCTGTAGCAGAGATCTGTTCAAGTGCAAACAGATGTCTGCCTGCAAAGACTCTGGAAATCCCTTCAGTACCTTAATATAGGAAGACAAGACCATCAACATATAGACAGTGATAAGATGCAAAAACAGAGACCCTACACAAACTTGACAGCAGTTACAGGTTAAAGTAGGACTACAATAACACTCAGTCATGTCACTTTTTACTTACAGCATTCATGTCAATGCCATTTGTGTACGACCAGGCATGCTGAAAGTACTCCTCCAGTCTTTGGCGAAGGCTACCTGGGATTTGGTGGAATCGAATGAACTCTTTGACTCGCAGCATCTGGGTGTGGTAGCGAGTTGTACCGGAGTACAGTCGTTGGATGATGGCTGACACATTCCCAAATATGCTGGCATACATGAGAGCTGAGAAGCAATGAGAATATAGTGATTACAATGATAAAGAAGTGATCGTGGCATTTTAATTGCAATATTTGTTGGTTATGGAAACAGTTCACGTTCTGCATATTAAGGGATTGTACAAATATTATTAGGGTCACAAAAGGGGGCTTTGGTGGCAGTGTATCCCATTGATGGCTTCTGTTTGCTCATGGTCGGTTGTTAATGAACTTCTGGTAAGTGCAGTCAGATAATAGAAAATATTTAAGAAATATCACCTTACATGTTAACAAGGATCATAAAAGGGGGGAAGTTAGAAGAGGGAGGAGAAGGCAGTCTCACAAGAGCAGGGGATGTCGTTCAAGTCCTTGCAGATTGATCATTGAAAGTAAAAATTAAATACAAAAATAAAAACACAAATCACAAAAAATCTTATTTTATTAACATATTAAGGTTAAATATCAAAGCAGCAACAAGAAAATTATTTTGTTGATTCTGGCGGTCCCTGTGGACAAAAGCAGTAGTGTTTTCACCACTTTGTTTAATTGATTTCAAGGGGAATCCGACCAAATCCGACCCAGTGACAGGCATTAAGAATAACTCCATAGAAATAGCCAATCTTGTTGCTGATGGTTTCATGTGCTTACGTAGATCACATAGAGGTATCAGTATTAAATTGAGACTATTTCATAATCAGGTAAATTATTAATAACACTGTGGAGGGTCTTTCTTTTGAACAAAAGTTAAACATAAAGTTCGGACCTGCCTGCCTACCCAAATAATTTTCATAGATTCACTAACAATGTTATTCAACTCACAGCCAATGACCATGACGCAGATGGAGAAGATCTTCTCTGAGTTGGTGTTTGGAGAGACATTACCGAAGCCCACACTCGTCAAACTGCTCAAGGTGAAGTAAAGAGCAGTGACATACTTGTCTTTGACTGATGGACCGGAGCTGGAGTCACTGTCGTTATATGACTTGCCCAGTTGTTCGGCCAGGTTGTCCAGCCAACCAGTCTCAGTGTACGGCCTCTCCACAAAGCCAATGGCGTACCAAATACAGGCGAGCCAATGGGCGATGAGCACAAAGGTGCACATGAGCAAGAAGAGGACAGCAGTTCCATATTCAGAGTACCGATCCAACTTTCTTGCCACGCGGACCAATCGCAGCAGCCGGGCCGTTTTCAGCAGACTTGTTAAGGTTGCCATCTTTGGTGTCCGTAACAACAGAGAAGAGGATGTTAAACAGGAAATGGTCATTCAATTTCCAGTAGCTTTAGAGAACTTAAGTTAAAATCCTTTCAGAAGTTTAGACAATTGTGTACAATTATATCTGAGGATTACCTCCAAAATTATTTTTTAATCAATACAATCAATGTGATAATTTGCAGAGAGGCAAAGTTCTTACCTCATCTGAGCCAGATCTGAAAATGAGAAGGTCAAAAGGGATCGCTGCGAACAGATCAATAGGGAACCAGCCTTTGATATAGTGCTTGGCTATGCGGCTCGGCTGTGTGATCACCTCGTCATTTTGGTCCACATACGTTGTGCGAAGGTTGATGACTATATCCACAATAAACAGCACATCAACCATAAGGTCCGCCACATTCAGAGGGTTACATGTGTAGCCACAATTTCTTTGACGTAAATCCCTGTGTTCATCCAAGAGGAACGCAGCTGAGTAAGGAGTGAAAACAGCTGTGTAGAGGACCAGGAGGAGAATAATCCAGTCCCAAAACGCCTTGAAGGGGCTGTAGTGAAGCAAGATCCACCATGTTGTCTCAGGCACCTGGAGTTTGTATTCAGGCAGTACATCAGACTCCAAAGAAAGTACCTAAGTATAAAGAATACATTAATATGCAGTGATTCTCACATATGAACATTGCCTTTTAACATTCCTTAAACTATGAATCTTCTTACATACTGTTTAGTATGATTTTATTGCATTTTGGGTCAACAAATTTAAACAATTAACTGCAACAAAACTGCAACTCTTAAAACAAGTACATATTTGAAACAAAAATCTGCATTTTCAAAACTTAGTCTGAACTAAAACTAACCAACAGACCTTTCTAGAAGATGTACTGTTTTGACCAAGTTCTTGGTGGAGGCTGCATGCTCTGGTTTTGCGACCTTGCAGGTCCAACAAATCCTTGACCATCCTGTCATTGGTGACTCTCAGCGGAGGCGAGATTTGGGTACATCCAGATCTACAGTTATTTCCAGATAGTTAAAAAATATCGAGGAGAAAGCTAAAGCAATCGTGTGCTGCAATCAAACGTGCAAGAGCTGACTGAGTGCAGGATGCTGGTGGGCTGGACGGCTGTAATGATGAGATGGGCGTCACAATCACATAACTGAGTTCATGTGCTGCCACAGTCCTCGTGTTCTCTTTAGCCCAGTTTCAAATTTATATTTACTGCCCTGACAAATCTTACTGACCTTGCAGATGGATATATCTATCTATTAGGTAGATAGATAGATAAATAGTAAGATAGATTTATAGATAGATAGACTATCAGATGGACAAACAGACAGGGATCAACAAGTGACCCCGTGCAGCAAGGTGATGGGTCGTTGGAAACACTTCCCTTGCATTTGTTTCATATCCACCACACACCATCCCACAGAGGCAGTGATGCAGAATGCCGAGCCCCAGGGCTTCAGCAGTAACAGCAGTAGGTCTGAATTGAACTGTGGCTCAATGTAACTTTGAATTTCACACCGAGACCCGCTACCAAAGCACCTAGTGATTTTTCCAGCGGGTTAATTAATAGCACTTTTTCTGGGAGCCTCTTTATTTCTTAGAAAACAGAACAGGACTAATGTGAGCTCCTGAATGGCTTACTGAACCTGGCAAGCAGTGAATGCTTCATAGGGTATTCTTCATAGTGCTCACCAACGTTTCACTTGAAATTTGGTGGTGAATGGCCAAGTTCATTCATTTAGAGCTCTTACATGGGACTTCCTGGCTCTCAGTCAGCCAGACAATGAGCCCATGTAAGGTTCTCAGCCCCCATACCTGCGTGACCTTCTCTGTGACGTTCTGAGAGCGGTCCTTCACCTTGGAGGGGCTAAGCACCTCCGTCCTGGGATTTGGAGGCGAGCGGCATTCGGGGCCCCTGCTGGCTGGTCCCCCACTCTTCATAAGGTCTGAGTCAGACATGGAGCTCTGTTGGTCTACATGTGATTGGAAAACATGTTTTTATTTACATTTACTACTACTATCACTACAATTATAGTATTCAATAACACTATTCGCTCCAAAACTGTACTAATAATATAGTTTTCTTCCATTTTATTTAAATAATTCCTTCAATTTTATTTATATTAAATATGCCTGTGTTTTTTTCTTTCTCTGAAAATCTCAATATAAATTCTATGAGCCCAACCTTTAAAGCTGCAATAGGCAACTTTTAGAAAAATAACTTTAATAAATATTTGCTGAAACTTGCCATATATCCTGACAGTAGTACATGAGGGAGATAATCTGCGAAAAAATGTGGTTCCTATGGCTCTTCCAAGTGATCCTTACGGCCTTTGCAAGAATCCACAGCGTCAGAACAAAAACAACCAATCAGAGCCAAGAAAGACAGTTGAAGACAGTTGATTCTTTGACTCCTAGGTTGTCAAATACCGACTCTCTGGGTACCTGGCAATGAGACTCAACAGTCTACAACTATTTTCAACTTTCTTTCTTGGCTCTGATTGGTTGTTTTCATTCAGACGCTGTGGATTCTTACAAATTCTTGCAAATAAGAGAAACTGGACAAGCCAGAGGAACCTAACTTTTTTCAAGCATTATTTGTCTTATGTGCTACTGTCAGGATATAGTGAAAGTTTCACCAAATTTGACTAAAAGTTATTTTTGTATAAGTTACCTACTGCCGCTTTAACAATACCCCTCTGTTCTGGTTGAATGCCAGTCTAGCTGTGCCCCTCCCAAAAATACTCTGCCCTCAAATACTGGATAGTCTCAATACTTGACTCACAGAGCGTTACTGCTCTGGAAGGCAGCAGTTACACTTAGTAAAAGATCTCACTAGTTGGTCAAAATTTTCAACCAAGTGAAGTTTCAGTGAAAGTAAATAAACAGAACATACCTGATTTGAAACCAGAATGTCAGATCCTTCTTGGTCTTGACTATAACTAGGCAGCCATGACTCAAATATCCATCCTTTTGGGCACTTACTGGGCAAGTGTTTTCAAAAACATTCACTCTTCTCTTTCATGGTTCATATTTAGGTAAAACAAATGTACCTCCTTCATTCAGATGTCAATGTTGAACTCTCCACCCTGGCACAGGGCAGAGGACTGGCCTGCAGCTCGCATGTTGCCGCGCAACATTCGCCAACACTGGAAACCAATCAATGCCATGCTACAGCTGAGAGGAATTGACAGGAAAATCGATGACGAGCATTGATGAACAGAGCAAATGGGCTCAGAGCCATTACACTATACCCCGTTAACATCAAATTACCATTTCAACGTTCTTGAATACAGTTCAGCTTGGTGTTGTGGGTCTGAAATACAGTTCAGGCTGTGACATACATGACACTGTGGTGTAAAAAAACTAAATCGGCTGGCCAAATGTATAGTACCCACTCAATATGTTGCATGCATACTGTTAATGTGGGACCTTATTGACTGCAATGTTGACACTACAGTAATATGAGAGGGTAATGACCCGTGATGACATTGGCTCAAAATGTCCTTCCGCTGTAACCTTCAGCCATCTGTAATCTTTTTTGTTTTGTTTTTAAAAAGATATATTAAATATAGATTTAGTTTTTGGAAGGTTTGCATGGACACTTAATTAAAAAGTCTATTTCACAGTTGACAAGCTGTTACTTACTTGGATGTTTGAGTTTCAGTGTGCAGAACCACGTATGTGCAGAGTTCGACTAGAAGTTTTTAACATTCATCTGCTGAAGGGGCAAAGTTTTTCTGAGCTCACCTTAATTCCCATTTTCAGATAGAGGCTTTAGATGTGCAATATAATCCAGTATGCAAGTTGGATGTTAAAACTCCAGTGCACAGACACCAAAAATTGACTTTTCAGTGAAGCAGAGTTACTAGTTTTTCATTTTTCATTAGTTTTTATTTTTGTTTTCAATTCAGTTAGTTTCCAGAGTGTGTTTGCTTAGGGGGAGACCTTAAATATTTGAATTAATTTTAAATGGATTGTAAACATTGCTTCCTTCCTAGTAAAAGTGAAAATTCAATTTGACAAAACATTTTAATTTCTCTTGGATCTTATGAATGATTTTCCAATATAAAGGGACCTCTTATAACCTTTTTTTAAACAACTTTTAAAGACCTATTTGACAAATTGTCCAATCCATTCACTATGAAATCCGATACTCCTCATGTAAGATATTCAGTGTCCACCAAGTGTCCAGGAAGCGTCCTCAGCTGTCCACCTGGATGTTGTCCCACAGTCGAACTACATCTGGACAGTCATTGAGGGCTTCTATTAGCGTTGAAGCAGCATCCAGCTGATTCTGGTCTAAAGACGCAACAGTGCGAGGAACAAACTCCAACCCAGCAGACGTAATCTGCATTCCCAGCCCCTCCAACGAGGCACGCACCTTCTTCACGTCCATTATATCACATGTAAACTGAGGAGAGAGAAACAGATCAGATTAACTGTGGTAGGGCTGCAACTAATGATTACTTTAACTGTTATTAAAGGAACAGTGTAGGATTTAGGTCACACTCTAGCTTACTCAGACACTGTGCTGGGAATCTGTAAAGATGGGACCAAAATACAAATAAAATTGTGCTTTTTGGAAACTGGACACATAGTTTGATCAGAATTAAACATTTAATATTGCATAAAAATATTAATATTTTTATCCAAATCTAAATTTCAAAGCCCACCAGGATGGCTCCAAACATCCCTCATACCCGTCACTGCTGCTGTTATGTGCATTTAGAAACATGTTCCCTCATATGTCTGCACTACTCTCCTTAGACTAGATGTCTCTTCAGGTCTGACCTGCAGGAGGGGCTGCTCATCCTCATCCTCAGTCTCTTGGACATCTTCGGCTCCCGCCTCAATGGCCAGCTCCAGAGCTCGCTCCGTCGAGATGTTCTGCCCCTGCACCAACACCACCCCCTTCCTGTTGAAGTTGTGGCGGGCTCCATCTGACGGCATCCCCCTATAAATGAGTACAGAACTACACCTGTGAGACAACATAACCCTACATTTAAATATATATATATATATATTATATATTAATTTCTGTTTAAATGTTTAAACCACATATGGGTTTTAATTTTTATTAGGTATCTTTTATTTTATGAGAGACGGTCAGCACTTTGTGACTTTTTTTATTTTTACCTGTGACAGATAAGATAATGATTTAAGACTTTTTCAATCAATAAAAGCCTAAAATGAAGCTGTTAAGAGCCTGCAGACTTATTAAGATAGTGGGAAGCCTTTTTTGGCAGATGAACTGCAGAAACAAGCAGCAGCTCTGCCTGCTGTATTCTACCTTTCCTTTTTGCTATTTTTCAACAGCTGTTTACATCTGCACCAGCACCTTCTGAGCCAAGACAAATATGTTTGTACGGGGACATCTAGTGGCTACTGCTATTTTCACACTGGCACATCATTATCAGTACAGTGTGGTTACCATACATTATATAATCACTGCACTCTTCCTCTAGATCTAATCTGTTTACTATAAAACTGATGCATTATTGATGTACATTTTCAGGTATTTCCTTCAGACTGATTAAATAGTATTTGTGGACAACTAATGATGTTTGAATCAGAACTGTTGTTTGTTTTTGTTGTGTTAAAAATAGTGAAGATTTGGTTAGAACAGAGTTATGGAATATTAATTAATTCATATTTTTGCTCACTTCATCTTACATCTTTCTTACCCTCAGGTGTGTAAAAACTACAGGTTATAAACTTCTGTTTAAAATCAGCTGGGGGGAAAAATCCATTTCATTCATTAACCAGGATTAAACATCACCAGTGTGGTGAAAGTGCATGAAATATCTTGAGTTTTTCAGCTAAACAGTCAGATTATAGGAAGCGCGTCCTGACCCATTCTTGTTAAGCAGGCGTTTTATGTCCTGCTGGCTGCGTGAGTAGTTGTCAGTCAACAACTCGATGAGCAGCAGACATCCACCAGGCCCCCGAGCTTCATACATGTGCTGGGACCCACCTTTGGCCTTTTCCTGTGGAGCAAAGAGAAAAGACGTGAATGAGAGAATCTTGAGTACTTAAGCTATTCAGATTCAGTCTTTTAGTGTCACCAAAACACTTAATGTTGTTTCATTCACTCATTTATGTAGACAATGTGTTGTCAACCTACCGCACTCTTGATTGCAGACTCTATAGACGCCTTCGGCATGTTCCTGCTTTTGCACTGCTCCAGTATGTGGGCTAAGTTTATATTCATATCTGGGTTGGGTCCGCCCTCTGCAGGTGAAGCCAAAATTTGAAATATATTAATTCATTATATTAATTGACAAGAAAACACTTTTTCTTTTTTATTGTATCCAGTTGTTTAATCTCACCTTTCACAGCTATCCTTATCATCATACTAAACTTCTTAAACATCCTGCTCCTCGCCTCATCTTTAGGTCCTTTAATGTTCTTCACCTTTGACCACTTGTTGTGTCCGGCACATAAGGCGGAGCACAGCTGCAGGGTCCTGACAGGAGAGTCCCTCCACGGCGGGTACAACAGGCATGAAGCCGGCGGGAGGACGAACGAGGTCGCGGCCGGAGTCCGGGGGCGCAGGGTCCGGAGAGCCCTTAGCACCGCCGCTGCCCCCGCCATGCCCTTCAGACACAGACACAGAGACACAGAGCACACACACACACACACACACACACACACACACACACACACACACACACACACACACACACACACACACACACACACACAGTGTTAATGAGTGTTACAGTAACCTGCTGTATGTGGAGTCACAGGGCTGTGTTCAAGAGCCGAGCTGTAGGCCTCCGTCTGCAGGTGAAGCCGTTATAAAACATTACTCTTCACTTCGATGAATACATTAAACAGCCTGGAGTTTTATAGCTTACAGTTTTAACAAGTCCAGAGAGCACGCAGCTACTACTGTCCTTGTTGGTAAACCCGCACTTCCGGGTTTCGAATACGTCAAAAAAATGGCCTTTCAAAATAAAAGCTCAATCAAGCAACATGTTTTTGGTTTCAACATAAAATATTGTAGGGTCGTAGGTTGGACAGTGACATTCTTTATTCTGTTTTGAATATTATAAGTTGAACCATTTGATTGTAATCAAATTCCTACAGAGCATATTTACAAAATAATGTATTTGTTTTATATATTTATGTGATCACATATTCAATTTGATTTAGTCATTGTGAATTGTCTCTCCCCTTTTGGGCTCCATATTGATTTCCACTTGTGTTTGTTGACTATGTCATTAGTTTGATTTTAACCTGTATAAATAATAATAATAATAATAATAATAATAATAACAATACGTTGTTGTTGTTGTTGTTGTTGTTGTTATTGTTGTATTTTTCTCTATGTCTCCATAGTTATCCAGAAGCATCTTGTGTTTAGTATGTGCTGTAACTAATTTAATACATTAAAATATGAATAGTAAGTTGAGGCAAATGTATAATAAATCCTGAGCCATGGGAACCTGAAATCTTTATAAGGACCCGTGGGTGTTTCTGGTTGAGATCAGGAACCACAGAAGAATATTAGTGCACAAGTTCAGCAACTGGTCCCAAAGATAACGGCAATACAAGCCAAAATATTGTACAACTCCCCGTATAATTTGTGTATTTGTTATATCTGCTGGTGTCAGGGAGGTTAGCACTAGAGATTATAGGTTCCGTCTAATTGGTACACACAGTAGGCAGTCTGGTCTGTATTAGTGTCCTCCAGAATGTCCTAGCGTGGGAACTGGAAAAGAAATGTTGGTCTCTTGCCATGGGACCAAAGTCTATTAAATCATGCTTCTATTTATGATGAAGGGATATATTAATAATAGGTTTATGGTCCAAGCTCCTGTCCCAAATTCAAAAACAGGAACATACAGAATGTACTGAATCCCTGAACAATATGTGTGTGATCAATATATATGCAATTATGAAAAGGAGGGTAAAAGCTATACACTGTCTGACAGTGGGGTTAGGGAAAAAAACTGATAGAGGAAGAGGAGCACAAAGAGTTAAGTGAGGTTGAAGCTTCAGCCAATCCAGGACAACCCATCTCTGATAGACAACAGTCCAAAGAACTGTAAAAGGAGGAGATTTCTTCCACAGTGCTCCTTTCTCTCTCTTCCCAACAGAAACCTTCTCACTCTACAGACTGACTGCTACATGGTGATTAGTGATGTCTACTGAGCCTCAAGAAGAAGACTGGAGAAAGGAGACATTTTTAAAGGGGATGTCAGATGACCTCAGAGCTCAGGAAGATCATGTTAAAGGCTGTTATTGACCAATGAAACAAAGAGAATCACTTAAAAACAAGAGGAGCGCTGATGGGACAGCGCAGGAGAACCGCCCTTAACTTTGGGACACGAGTTCCTTCAATGCAACTTGAGGAGGACAAGATAATCTGATGTTAATCAAACGTCCCGTTTAAGTCGACCGTTGAAAAGACATCATGTTGTCTGTACTGGGAACCGGTGCCATGGCTCTTTTCCACAGTGTAATAATAGTGTCTGCGCTGGTAAGTGTACTCTACTTATCCTGAGTATTTGGGTGATTTTGTTATTGATGACTCCATTGATTTAATAAGTTACATTTCACAGGTTTTTATAGATTCGTTTTAGTTTCTCATAAGAATTTTGGAGGAAAATAGTTTATTTTTGCCTTGCTTTTACTTAAACAGGGATAATACTTGAACAGTTTTTATTTTTACATTCTATAATATGTTGTTGTCATATTTATTGATTGTTGTTTGTTCAATGGCAATCACAAACTTATATAAATAATATATATAATATAATAATAGTCTATTAAAGGATGGTTTTTATGCTCTAAATTTAAACTTTTCACACAGTAGCATCATATCTTACACTATAATATGACACTGAGTCAGAAAGAACACTCCCATACTGCTGCACTTTGGGCCAAATATAGAAAATTGCATGTATCTGTGACTCTCTTTGAACACATTTTGGATGTAGATTTATCTGTCATGCTTCATGCTTTGGGAAATGTGCCAGCCATTCATCAACAAGACTGACCATAGATGAGAGGTGTAACTTTCTTCTTTTTCAAACAAATGATGTGATGTGTAACAACTTTGTTTTGACAGTGCTGGTGAGGAATATAAAGTTTCCAATTTGAGTATTTATATAATTGCATAGTTTATTTCTAAATGTAAACCAAAGACAATTGAAATCATCACACAAATCTTATGTCCAAATAGGAATATTACTTTGAAAAAAGTAGGGGAATGTAAAGGCAAAACAATCTCTGAAAATGATTTTATAATGATTTTAAAGAGCAGTTTTAGATTTCTGGAGAAAAGACGTTCATATAAGTCAACACCACGTCTCCTTGACTCAGACAAATACCTGTAAAAATCAACCACCGAACTTACAAACTACCAGGACAACAGCATCAGTGAAACCAGTACGAGAGGCCCCCAATCTCCACCATCACAAGTCACCTGTGGTCCACTACCTCAAAAACCTCCATCAACTCTGACCCCTTTAACCTTTCACCCACTGAAGCAGCTCACACTGACCACCTCTATCTCTACATCTTCCAACGGGTCGATCCAGAGTGTCGAGCTCAGGCAGAATTACAACCTCCTGCTCACTCAGCCTGAAAATCACTTTACATGAAGCAGGGCCTGAGAAAGAAAATTAAATTATGACACAAAAGCGGGGAGATGTCTAAGCCTAATTGTTTTGCTAACACTCCCTGTCTGTCAGCAGAAAACCCTCCTGTACAAAGAACATGTATGACTTCTCTGTATTGACTTGCATGTATTAAATAACGCTGCATGATGATTTGTATTCATTTTCTAGGGTTGTTTTGTTGATGCATCGGTGGAGGACCATCAATAATTGACATGTGTTTAAATGTGATTGTGGACAGAAACACACGTGCACACACACACACACACACACACACACACACACACACACACACACACACACACACACACACACACACACACACACACACACAGTGTGTCCTCAGTCCACTACAACAACAACAAGTATTGAGCTACTCAATATGTCTGTATTGTCTTTGGCTGAGAGCCCCCCTCCCAAAAAAAATCACTATAGGGAATAATAGCTGTTCAGCTTTCTGAGTGCTACAATACTGGAGACTCTGTTCGCCCTTAGGTGGTTTATTTGAATGACTTCTGCCAAGAATGTTAGTTATCACAAATCCATCGACATGACTGGTTCCAGTTGGACTTTAGTCTGTTTAACAAGATTGAGAACTTTTCTTCAGCTTGCCAGGGAGACGGCTGTGAGAAGCAAATACTCAGACCCTTCACTAATGTTACACACTGGACCTTTAAGTAAAAGTACAGGAGTGTTAATGCTTAAAGTATCAACAGTAATTGGCCGCTTTGACAGATGTATTATCATATATTACATTAATAATATATTATTATTTATACATTACCTGGAGTTAGTTTAGTCTAGGGGTCCCCGACCTAGGGGTCAGGTCCCTTCCAAATGGTCACAGGATAAAATCTGACAGGTCGTGAAGCCCTGCAACACAACTTATCTTTAATCTATGGACCTCTCTTTCTTCTCATTGGGCCATAACAGTTATCAAAATCAGTGGTTCTCAACCTGGGGGTCGGGAGTCACAAGGGGGTTGAGAAATCATTCAAATGGTTGTGGACTTTTTATACATGTTCACAGGGACAGTTATGTCAGTATTGTGCAAATGTGTTTCTATCTATTATTGTGCTTTTAGGCCTCAAGCCGACATGTTGACTGCTGATTGTGAACGTGGTTAATAAAAAAAATCTAAAAGCATAATTAAAGACAAAAAATTTGTTGTTGTTCTGTCTGTGGGCGAAGAAATGAGTTTGACACCTTTCATCTGCTTACAACTAAGCAGCTGCTTAGAGCCCCGCAGCCGCCAGGGGCTCCCCAGGCTGATGAACTGATAAGGGCGCCCTAGTAGAGCGAGGTGGAACTTTATTTTCACTTTCATTTTCCTGTGGAACTATTACATCGGCGCACCACTGAAGAGAGAGGAAAACAACTGTGGAAAAAAAACCATCCATGGGTGGAAAGCTGGCTCATTAAGTTGATGATGATCACAAAAAACATTAACAAGGGAGCAGACCAAGAGCCATGAGACAGTCTTACTCACTCACTCACTCACTCTGAGAACTGGAACTTCTCAGACATTTAAAAACAGGACAAGAAGCCCCAACCAGCAATAGTTTTTTAGCAAACAACATGGTTGTTAGATGGCTCAAGAACTGTTGGATGGGATGCCATGAAATGTGATCCAGACATTCATGGTCCCCAGAGGATGAATCTTACTTACTTTGATATTATCCTAACTTTTCCTATAGTACATCATGAAGTTCACATTTCTGTTTTTTAGTGAAGTTCCTCAACAACTGCTTGATGTATTACAATGAAAGCACCACAGCTTCAGTACAACCTCACAGAGCTGCTTGCATAAAGGGTTTCAAGCCAAAAGCTTCTGCTGGTTTAACAATGTAATGTATCATGTAATGTAATGTCGTATCTGACAAGTAACTATTAATTACCGTCAATAGATCCTCCTAAATGTTACACACTGGACCTTATGCAACACTTGAGTAAACTTATCGAGTTACTTTCCACCACAGAGGCAACTCATTCCTCTGGATGTTTTCTTCTCCCCTGGACCAAACTTATGCTTAGTTGTTTCTTTCTCTTTCTTTGTACCTTTCTGCCTCATCATCTCTCTCAGTGTTATCCTCTGGCAGGCCAACAATCCTCATGTGAGTTCTCTAGTTGTTAGTTTTGCCGCTCTGTTGTGAAATGCACCTGGGAACACAAAGCTACTTGTGTAGATCTCACGAGCATGGCCGAAGTCCTGAGGACAAGGCCCCCATGCGGCCAACGGCAGCCCCGCCGCTGGTAAACAAAGGGGGTTGGCGAGGGATCATCACATACCACACCCTCACACAACTATTTCACAACACCTGGAGGCAGCACATCAGATCCTTGCGGTTGACAGATCACCCAAGTTGGACAGAGTCTTCAGAGAGACTTTTATTGGGAAACTTTTCATATCTGTAGGCATCTTTAAAGATAAACAGCTGACTTTTCTCTTGAAGCTTGGGCAAATACCAAACAACGCAATCAGACCTCTGCAGATACATTATAGCCAATTCTTGGGTAAAGGAGATCTTTATTTCATTTCGGTAGGATCATATCACCAATTGGTTGTTTCAAATCATTACAAAGAAGTGATCATTTACAGTATGGCTAACTATTGTGGTATTTAAACATTTTTGATGTATTGATTTTTCCTTGTTTGTATTGTAAGAAAATAAAGTAGCAGGCTTTCAAGAATCAAGGATCAAGGAAATGTATTTATCATTATAATGCAAGGTTGAACAGTGAAATGAAAGTTTGTAGTCCCTTCATGCTATACAGAAAAATATAATTCAATCCATAGAAGAAGAACATAAACTAAATTAAATAAAACAAATTATTTTTAATAGTGATAAGGATAAGGTTTTCATCTTCACATAAAAAGTTCAACGTTTGAGAAACAGTTTAACAAAGTTTAAGTAAATTGATGGATATTGGACATAACACTATGGTGCATCTCTTGCATATTTGTTTGAACAATCTGACATCTCCCTTTATCCACCTGCTACAGATTGACTCTGATGATGTCATCACACGAGATGAGCAGATCTACGTTCTGATTGGTGCTCATGCCAAGTGTGAAAGGAACATCCAGGCACAGATGGCACTGGTTAAAGGTTTGTGTGCAGCTTTTGATCATTTTATTCATTTACAGTTTTGTTTTGTTATCAAAAGGTCATCAAAACTCCCCAGAAAAAATGTTCACTAAACCCATAGAAGTCTAAATAAGTCTAAAAACTGCATACTAAATATTTTTTAAACTTCCATCACTGAATTGGTTGCATGAGAGCATTGTGGTTTTAGTCGGGACACAAGATCTATCTATAAAATCAAATTTAAACCTTCACTCCAGATAAAAAGTCAACATTTGGAATATGTTGAGTATGCCAGCTGGGTTGAAGAGTCTTTTTCCCTTTTAAAAAATTTATAAAATAAAGCTCTCCATATTTGGAAAGTAAGGTTCTTTAACAACCACATCCAGAATTAGTATTTAAAAAACACACAAGGTCAGTGAGTGCATGTACAAATAATCAGAAACAGTAGCATATTTATGACATTATGTATTTATTTAGGATCAGTTATAACACGCATCCAATATCCTGCTGACCAGTATCTCTGTGATTACAGAGTTGAATTTAGGTGCAGACAATAGTGGGACATATTTCATTCAGATTATGACGCAGAAGCTGTAGTGGCTTCAATGGTCTATTTAAAGAGGGATTTTATGAGACGGAGCCCCAGTCTGAAGACTAGACGGGTAGAAGAGAGACACAGATGTCATAAATTCTCCTGCATACTGCATGAAATATTAGATTAAATATATTGTAGGAAACCATCAATGGAAATCTGTGATGCTGGTTCTATTTTACTCTTCAACCATTTAAACATATTTAGATTTCTGTTAAGGCTTCAGAGGTGGACATAGTAAAGTACATTTACTAAAGTACACTTTTGAGGTACTTTACTTAAGTATTTCCATTTTATAATAATTCATATTTCAACTCTACCATATTTCAGAGGGAAATATTGTACATTTTATTGCACTTTCCATTTAACTGAGTGCTCCTTGTTACATTTCAAATCCAATGATACATACATATGATGAGCTTATGAGACAAAGTGTATTATTAAAGATTTAACTTTCCAAACGTATAAGGGTTAAATTTATCTCCACTTTGACTAGTACTAAGGTTAATGTACTGCTTAATGTGTCAGTAAAAATCCAATCTCCTGCATTATTTAATAACCAATATGCACTTTTGATATTTTTACTGCTTAAGTTAACATTTCAATGCATGACTTTTTCTACTTGTAATGGAGTAGTTTTACAACACTGACAGGTTTACTTACCCAAGTGTGCACTGTGCAGTAGTATTAGGGCAACATTAACAAAAATATAACACAAAAATATCAAATATCAAAGCAAATATCCAAGCATTAAGATACACTGATTACTTCAAACAGAGGTTCTTGCTTAGGGGCCTTCTGACTTCTTGAGCCCCTGAGCCTGTGTCATAGTTTTGTATGTCAGTAGAAAAGCTGAACTTTCAAATGACATAGCAGTTGTTTCCCATTGCTTTGTGAAGAAGGTGACTGTATCCCGGAGTGGGACGGGATCATCTGCTGGCCACAGAGCAGAGCGGGTCAGCTGGTTTCAGTGCTGTGTCCAGAGTACATCTACGACTTCAACCACAGAGGTATGAGAGCCAAGAGACACTACCATCCACCATTTGATCATCTACATGCAACTACAGAGATGGAATAACATCTAAATAAAAATGTATGACATTCCTGTTGTGTCACTGTTGTTGTGCTAATGTTGTGACTGTGTCCTGTTCTCCTGCGACCCAGGGCGAGCCTACCGCCAGTGTGATACATCGGGGAGCTGGGAACAGGTGCCAAGCATTAACCGCACTTGGGCCAACTACACCGAGTGCACCACATATTTGACCTCCAACCACAGGAGCCAGGAGGAGGTACATACATATGCATTTGTATTTAGATGAATATACAGACAGTGTGTTCTTATGGTTGAATGTGTGTGTTATGTGAATTGGCATAAAATATGTTTGACTTCCAATGTGTTGATTGCTGAGACGTGAAACCTTTTTGAATGAATGCCAATGTATTTTGTACAATATATTCATTTTAACATATAAAATATATTCTGAATAATAAGTTTCACTATGCTGACCAGGTGTTTTTAGGCTACAAAAGTATATTCTATCTTTATGCATCTGCACCTTATATATACTGTCAATGATCAGCACACATAAGTATGTTTTTGTTTTGCTTCAGAAGGTGTTTGAGAGACTCCATCTTATGTACACTGTCGGCTACTCCATTTCTCTAGCATCACTGCTGGTGGCAGTCTCCATCCTCTGCTATTTCAAGTAAGAAACCTAAAACTTCAGTAATATTCAACTTCAATTATTTGTCCATAAATACTCCACACCTATTTGTATATTCTTTCATTCTAACACCACAATATCTCTCCCTCTATCTCTCTCTCTCGCTCTTACACACACACACACACACACACACACACCTACACACACACACACACACACACACACACACACACACACACACACACACACACACACACTTTTCAGGCGTCTCCACTGCACACGCAATTACATCCACATTCACCTCTTCACCTCCTTCATATGTCGGGCAGTCAGCATTTTCGTGAAAGACGCTGTGCTCTACACCATCTCTTATGACAGTAATGCTGAGCCTGAGTTCACTGCACAGAAGCCCCATATGGTAAACTGTATATTTTTTATCTTCATTACCATAGTCAAAGTGTTTTGTTTTCATAGTGTTTTAATGTTGCATCAAGGTGCTTAGATTTAGAGCACACCTCCTAAGTCTTGGAGATGATCCACTGTATGATGTGTTTGAAAGGAAAAGTTTGATATTTTAGGAAATACTCTTAATCGTTTTCTTGCTGAGAGATAAGATATAACATGTAAGGATATTTAGCTTTAGAAGTGCTGATAGGAGGATTTTGTTACCTTTGGACAGAGCCAGGCTAGCAATTTCCCCCTGTTTCCAGTCTTTGTGTTAAGCTAAGCTAATAGTTTACATATTTACTGCACAGATATGAGAAAGCTAATTAAGAAAGATTATTTCCCAAAATGTTGAACTGTTCCTTAAAGAAAAAACATAAATTCTAGTTTTAATGACAATATGTATTACTGTTTGTTTTTTCTCTTATTATATGATCTGTTTGAATGTTTCCTTTACATGCTGCTTCGTGTCTTTAGGCCGGCTGTAAAGTTGCTGTTACTTTCTTCCTTTATTTCCTGGCAACCAATCATTACTGGATCCTGGTGGAGGGGTTGTACCTACATAGCCTCATCTTCATGGCCTTCCTCTCTGACAAGAACTACCTATGGGCCCTTACCATTATCGGCTGGGGTAAGGGCCATCGGACCAGATCTGTTGTCACATATCGGGTTAGGAGTAAATTAACCTACCTAACTCAGTATTGGGTATTGGGTCAGGTACTGTGCTCATGTACTTGTAATTGTAATCATAAAACTACTCCGATACTGCACCAGGTACTACAGTGCAGTGTGATGTTGTGTAACCTCTCGTTAGTTGAGCAAGTTTAAAGATAATTTAAACAAATTTTACAACAACAGTACCAAAATTAAATTGTTTACAGCCAGAAAGTGAGGAACTTCTGATGAAAATATTGTTTTCAAAGCCATTATTAGAACTGTAATGGTATTATTAAGTACTCATAAATCAGCAAGTACACAAATGTACTGGTATGTGTTCTGAAAAAATGTGTATAGTGTATCCTTATATTGCTCAATTTTTCTCTCTCTGCTAATCTTAGGTGTTCCAGCTGTGTTTGTGTCTGTTTGGGTCAGTGCACGAGCATCGCTGGCAGACACACAGTAAGTCGTGCGATGCATTCACTTGTCACAAATTATAACCTGACACCTGCATCACAAACGCTCGCTTTAACTTGTCTGTCTGCTTTCAGATGCTGGGACATCAGTGCAGGAAACCTGAAGTGGATCTATCAAGTCCCCATTCTGGCAGCCATTGTTGTAAGAAAGGTTTACCTGTTGATATTATTAAAGAATATTTAACACATTCTTATGACCTTACTGCACATCTCTGCTCCTGCAGGTGAACTTCCTCCTCTTTGTCAACATTATACGTGTACTGGCCTCTAAACTGTGGGAAACAAACACTGGTAAACTGGACCCTCGGCAGCAATATCGGTAATTGTTCATAAAACACTGACAATCTAAAAAATTTACCTTTAATCTAATTATTTATTCCATATAATATACTATATAAAATTCATATTAGGCTATGATCATTTGACGAGAGAGTTTTTGCAAACATTAAATCACAGCATGAATGCTCATGCTCTTCATCTGCAGGAAGCTGCTGAAGTCCACATTAGTCCTCATGCCCTTGTTTGGAGTTCACTACATGGTGTTCATGGCTCTTCCCTACACTGAGGTCACTGGGCTGCTGTGGCAAGTCCAAATGCATTATGAGATGTTCTTCAATTCATCCCAGGTTGTACACATTTATAAGCACTAACTCTGCATGCAGATATGTGATCTAAGGCTTCACATTTCTGATAATGGTTTGCAAAAAAAAGTATACATTTCAGTAAAAGTTTGTTTTTATCAACATTTTCTGAACACTTATTTGAATAGTTTTTTATTTTCAAGCTAAAAATAACAAATATGTGTAATAAGGATACCATGGAGAAACATTTTGGGAAATATACTTATTTGTTTTCTTGCCAAGAGTTAAATGAGAAGCTTGCTACCACTCTGTCTGTTAAATATGAGCATACTTTAGCTTAGGTTATCTTAGCAAAAAGGACTGGAAAACAGGGAAACAGATAGATGAAATTAATGGTAAATTAGTGAGCTTTAGAAAACTTTTTATTAAGTTTGGAGAGAGCCAGATCAGCTTTTTCCCCTGTTTTTAGTCTTTAAGCTATGCTAAGATAAGCTAATATTTAGTATACAGATGAATCAATCTTCTCATTTAACTCTCAGCAAGAAAGCAAATAAGCATATTGTCGAAATATTGCTTTAATCATTATGGATCATCATCATTTTATGGAACAGTTTATGGTTCATTTTCAGTATTTAAAGTCAATACATCTGGTTCTTTTTAACAAAATCTTTTTTTCATATTTCAGGGCTTTTTTGTGGCATTTATCTACTGTTTCTGCAATGGGGAGGTAATAAAGCTATCGTTCAGTTCTGAAGAGTGAACTCTGGTGTTTGTGGTCCGATAAAAAAAAGACAAACATGTCTCCCTCTTCTTGTCCTCAGGTGCAGGCAGAGGTGAAGAAGGCGTGGTTACGACGCAGCCTCACGTTGGACCTCAAACAGAAAGCCAGGATGACCAGCAGTGGTGGCAGCTGTTACTACGGTGGCATGATGTCACACACCACCACCCAGAGTGTCAGCTTGTCTGCTGTCAATCCCAGAGCTCTATCCTTCACTGGAGTTGTGGTGGGCTCAGGTGGAACCGCTGGTGGAGGGTCAGGGATCAGGCCGGCACGTCACAGCTCTCTCCACCCACAAACCAGCCTGCCCGGATATGTGTCCGGTGACACAGAGACCTCCAGCCCCCAACAGGAGCTGGCTGTGCGGAAGCCAGGGGGGACGGAGTCTGGAGTTTTTGCCAGGCATGCCAGAAGCGGCAAGGGAAATCATGACCGCAAAGGTCCCGGAGCATCTCCAGCCCAAATCCCTGGATCAGAAGATCCAGACAGCTCCTTATCTCTGAAAGAGCTGGAGACCATCTTGTGACTGTTTGGATAAATGTTCAGATGAGTATAAATGAGGTATTAGACTAAAGACCAAGATATATATGATAGGCATGAATCTTTCTGGCCACATTTCAAGGATTTACTTGTGTTGAGATTGTTTTGTCAACTTCCTCTAAAGTCAAGAGAGAACTTTCAGTCTCAACTTGTAAGCCAACAGCTGGACAACCTCTGTTTGCTGAAGAAGATTGTATGATTGAAAACTCCTGAACAGCTACTGAGCAGACCTTGTGGTGAGATTGACAGCAACAGAGTTTTGTGGTTGTCTGGGTTTTTCAGTGGATGGGATCACATTTCCAATGCATCAACAATGAGGGAATACACACACATTTTCATTTTGCAAAATGACACCGAAGGCCTTCACTCATTGTGACATATGTACCAAATCAGTATGCATGAGTCTATGATGGTTTGTGTACATCTCAAGTTATAGGTACAATTTCCTCATGGGTCAGTGTACCTAAACTGTACATACGTTTTTATATGCTTTCAACTGATTTCACGTTGAAATGTGAACAGATAAATTAAGCTAAATAAATATGAAGCTGTGATGGTTCAGAGAATTTAGAAAAGTCAAAAGACAGACCTGGATGTTTAAACAGGGAGATTTTTCTCTGCCTCTTCATATCTTTCCTGTGTTGGATTTCCAGGCCAGACTGGCTGACACCAGTAAAATTGTGTGTGTGTGTGTGTGTGTGTGTGTGTGTGTGTGTGTGTGTGTGTGTGTGCGTGCGTGCGTGCGTGTGTGTGTGTGTCAGCGGCTGCTGTCTATGAATCTGCTGTAGCAATCCTCCCATTTCCAAATATTGACCTCCATACGTATCAGCCACACATTTCTGATGGAGGGGGCATTACTCCACCGGGCTAACTGTCTACAATTGATTATTTCCAATAGTCATGGTGTCCAGATAGTATGTCTAGACAGGTGGGACTTCTCTCTGCACCTTTGTTGTTGTCTACTCTCCCCTATTTATCAGTTTGACAGGACCCTGGGGGCTTTTTACCCATTGCAGGCCAAACGGCAGCTCCTTCCTCTGTGTGACCTTTGCCCTGAATGCCCTCACAACACCTTCCAGTATTTCACACACTCCCCTCAGGCCTCGGCTCGGAGCAAGAAGCACCTGAGCTGCTTGTGGACCTCGAGCATAAGTGACAAACCTGCATCACAAGCCACCAGTATTCACAAGATAAACAGACAGGAAATTGTGCCTGTAAATATTTTAGGACTGTTTTAGGTGCCCAGAAATAGAGACGACTGTTCTGTGTTTATAGGATATGTAAAGTGTAAGATAACTCTGCTAATTTAATAAATGTTTTTGGGAAATTGTCTTGAGAGTTTAAATAAAGTGCTCTATGTGTAAAAAGTTTTGTTTGGTATTTAAAGGCAGAACTTGAGGCAATACACACTTGTAGTACTGGAAGATCTCATTCTATGAGCAGTTATCACTTAATTTTATTATCTTGTCTTTAACTATTTGACCTTTATTTAACCAGGTAAGTCCCACTGAATTTGGAAACCTCTTTTGCAATTAGGATCCGGCCAAAATGACAGCATAAAATAAAGCTACAAGTAGATGAAATTAAGAATGGAGTCATTTATCATAGAGTTTACATTGGACTTGATTTCTGCCAGAGATTTCAGATTCATCACTTTAATTTCCTTTTGCAGACTAGTCTAAGTAGGCTGGATTTTCTTATCTGTCCGTACAATTTGAGCAGACTGACTGAGAAGTACAACAGCTGAGTCACTAACATTACTGGAAGCCAACAGCAAGGAGGCTCAGACAGTTCCAGGTAGAAAAATACTATACCGCTGCCATCAAAGTTCTGAAATATCACCTAATAAACTCACTCCTGAAACCTTACTGCATCTCCTATAGTACTAACTATATAGTTTTTACATCATACTGCCTATACAATGTGTTGCACTGCTGGAAAACACCATGATCTAAATATTTTTATAGCATAATTCAGGTAAAATTATAGTTTTTCGTATAGTAGATATAGTAGTAAAGCCTTGTTCACATGTTTATCATTTAAACAGGCACCATTATATTATAACCCTGAGGGTTTAAGCTTAACTAAGCTCTCTTGTGAGTCCGCAAACATACAGAAGTGCAACACTAAATCAGCGGACTGGCCCTTTAAGTTATTAGGAAATATACTAGATAAAGCTCTGCCCCCTGTTGCAAGAGTGAACACATTGCAAGTTAAAATGTCCTCACTGGTTATTGCCTCATGAGAAGTCAAATGAAATGAAACTAATGACTAATCAATAGTCTTTGTGTGTGTGTGCATTGTTTTTGAGTTTCAGACCATCAAGAGCCCAGAGCACTGAGAGAACATTTGACCCTTTTAGACCCATAACACACGTAGTCGATGTAAAAAAATTCAATAATAACAGTTTTACAACATAGTTTGACTTGCTTATCTTTGTTTTTTAGGTACATTAGAAATAATAAAGTACACATAAAATACATTTTAGAGGCCAGTAAACATAAAATACATTATTGTGATACTGAAGGAAATTAGATGTATGTTTATTGTGTCATGAGCATACAAGCAACAAGCTCACATGAACTTTTTAAAGTAATCATTCAACCAGGAGAACTAATCAGGAATGAATTTAAAGTTTAGCCCATAAATCATTGTATAATGAACATTAAAACATCAAATAATACAAATCAAGCTTTTCTCTTCAGGAAAACAAAACCATGAGGTATTGTTGTCTCTGCATTTTAGACTGTAGTTGAACATTTCACAGCTCTGATGTCGTCAAAAAAGGAATATGAAGCATCCAAACATATGGAGCACCAGACACAGATATGCATGAGTGATTGCTCCTCCACCAGGACAAAAAAAAAAAAAAACCCAACCCCCAGCCAATAATGTATGGTGGCGACCAGCTGTCAGCTCATTAGAGAGGAAAGGCTGGGGACCAAAGTGTCACCATTTGATGACATTTTGGTTGATTCAGGTTCAACAACCTCTTCTGGGAGAGAAAAGGAGAGAGGGAGGAGAGTGACGAGGTTGCTGATCGGAAATTACAGAGGGAGGAAATGAGCCAGCATGATGACTGTGGTGCCGCTGGAGTTGATGATATCACCCTTATTGTAATTTATATTTATTTATATTATTATTATTTATATTATATTATATATATTTTAGGTGATTGCACACAAAATGAAACCACATACATTTCTGTTACGACACAACTAGAATGTACAAGTATTCAATGGACACAATGAACCTCATATAATGCATATAATACAGATACCTTGTCCCTTACAGAAAAAAACATGTATTGCAAAAAAACCATGAGGAAAAATAGTAATAGGTCTCATCCCTTTTTCTGCAAGGGCCAAATATCTTATTAATATCTTATTTACAATACATGGCCATACAGCATCTATTATCTTTTATTAAGATATACATGATGAATAGAACAATAAAGGATGTGAATCTATATGATCTTCTGCAACATACTGCACATACATTATACTGTATCACCTTGTTTCCAACTCTATAGTGAATCTATATGATCTTTAATAAGCCTCCATGTTTTTATGGCTGCACCTTTTCATTAAACTGAAATACTTAAGATTGTTTGTGCATCATTTCCTACACAGTTCCCCCATAATTCAGCCGGACATGCAAATAATGATTAGTACTTTTGGTTATTAATCGAGCCTATTAGACATATATCTGCCTGTTATTGAAGTCTTTCACAGTGAAAATGCTGTAAAGCCAGAAACTGCTTTAAAAGTGTACATGCCATTCAAACCACTGAGGTGATTCGTCATGTTCAGTCTGCATGATGAGAGCCGAGCCAGTGACATCATGGTGATGTCAAAGAAGTAGGCGGAGAGAGAGAGAGAGAGAGAGAGAGAGAGAGAGAGCAGCTGTAATTCTCTGTGTATGAGAGTAATAATACAAACAGATCAACACACTCGCATGTTCCGGTGTATCTGATGTCAAAGACAAACCCGCTGCTGCCGGCTGTCAGCGGCTCTGATGCGGGCAGCCAGCATCCTCTCTCCGGCATCCAGGATTGAATGAGGAGGGCTAGTGGCCGACAGGGAGGGGTCCTTTGATTTCAGGGCTGCCTCCTCCTGGATGGAGCCCGGCTGTATGCGGGCAGCAATGGCCATGGGAGAAGTCTCGATAAAAGCGTCTGCTCGGAATCTGACGGTGGAGAGAAAAAACCTCATCACCGTCTGCAGGTCAGTTTTAATGTCAGGCAGACTGTGTGTGTATGTGTATGTGTGTGTGTGTTTGGAAGCCTCTAAAGTGGAGATGTTGATAGGCTAAATGCTGCATTTATCCTAACTGGCCATGTGGTAATATATGTCTGTTTTATGACAACAAATAGGTCCTGGTGTCTTTATTCTAACCAAACAGAATATATGCACATAAGATGCACTTACGTCATCCTCATAATAAGTCCTTTTTATGAACCCTGGGCCTGTGCGGACACAAAATCCTTCATGTGCACTAACAAATATTAATATCCTGATGCACAAAACCCCGACAATCTACCCCTGGCTGTCCATCTCTGTGTGAGTTTTTTAGCGGTGTCATCTTTGTCAGGGCGATTTATTTTCTTCCCGCTGATGGCGTGGTTGCTATGACGACAACCTTCCTGGGGCAAGGACTAGCTGGCACCCCAGGGACTCAGGGCAGGGAGGCACAAGGCCTGCACAGCAAGGTCCTGATTGGGCTTTGAAGGAGTATATAGCCCTTAAATGCCAGAGCTTAAACACATACAAACACAAACACACTTTACATGAATGCATGAAAGATGTGCTGCCTGTATCTGCTTTAAAATGTAAACACCATTACAGTTATCAGCAGCTAATTTAAAGCTGCTATGATCGCTATTGTTAGAATAACAATGGATCAGATGGCTGTGTGTTATGTGAAAGGGGTCATAGTGATGAACCCACAGAGAATTATCACCCAATTCTGCAGTTTCTCTCAGAGCTGCAGAGCGTTTTTGTGTCTTTCAGCTCATTGTTTTGGTTTTACGTCATGTAACTTTACTGTTTTGGGTCACTCTCACTGCTCTCACTGTTTCTGCCGCAGTAGGCAGCTGTTCTCATCTAAGGAGCTCTATAAACAGACTGTATGCTATACCTGCTCAGCACCAAACAGCAGACAGCAACTAACTAGTGAACGTAGTGTTTAGCAGCTATAAGCCAGGTATTTCCCTCAGGAGTTGGTGTGGACCAGAGCTAGAAGAAGAGTAAATATTGGATTCATTAGAAACAATGAACATAAATTCATGCTAATATTTCATGTCTAAAATTGGCAGCTGTTTGCTAACAACTTTATCATCTTGAAAGGTGATAAATGTCAACGTTGTTTTCACAGCTTGTTTCTGCTGCTCCAAAGTGGCCAAAAAATCAGTTAATGAAGGTTTAAATAAACATGAATTGTGAATATGTGTAATACATTTTGTGTTCATTTCTTTTCCAGATGTATTATCTGGTAGCACATGGGTCCTTTTTAAAGAAACGTAGTTATACAAAAAAGACTGCACTGTTAGGAATAAAAGGTCCAGTTTGTAGGATTTACTGGCATCTAGAAAAACGTGAAAGGCCCTATCTACAGCCAGTGTTTGGTTTGTCCATTCTGTGCTACTGTAGAAACATGGCGGTTAAACATGGCGGACTAGCAGTGTCTTTAGATAAAACAGCTCATTCTAAGGTAACGAAAACACAACTATTCCTACATTCATTTGATTATGCACTAATGAAAACATACCTACAATATTATATTCCAATTCTGCCATTAGATCCTCCTAAATGTTTCACACTGGACCTTCAATTTAGATTAGCTTTTTCAAAACAAATTAAATGCCACTAAACTTGGCAATAAAATACACAGCCAATATATGTAGCAGAATTCACATTAAATAACAATCACTCCTTCCCTTCTGTCCTAGACATTATGCAAGAAACATTCATTCAAAAGCACTGCATAAGAATGAATTATGGCTTCATGTTTGCTTTGTCTCTGAGCTGATGGTTCTGCCAAGGTTCAGATCACTGATATTACTGTCAAAGTCAAGCCTAAAGTCATCAGATAACTCATATCTGTTTCATGTGTTCTGTTATTGTTCTGAGCACAAGTCATATGACCACAGACTGGATATGTGATCCAGTCTCATGTTCTTGTCAGACTGTATGTATTAAACACACACACATTCAGACATTTGTGCAGGTGAACAAGGCAAGACAATCTGGGTCATGTCACATTTCAGCTGTCTGTGATACAGTGAAAACACAGGGGATTGTGCTCGTTTTGAGGATAGTCAGCCAATTA